TAGCATGTTAGCATTTGGAGAAAGTTCGTCCACTTTACTCGTCAGGCTTTTTCCTCTAAGTCTGGAGTCTTGTGCAAGTACCCAGAGGACGTGTCCAGGACGGGCTCCACATCTGGAGTAGTGTTTGGGTTGTTGTAGTGTAGCTTTGGGAAACTGTAGGGGGCGTGTGGTCAGAGGGATGAATTGTCCAGTAATCGAACCTCCTCTTCGATTTCGTCCTCCTGGTAATGGGACGAGGAGGGCGCTAGTTGAACATTATGGACTCGGGGTCTTGGTTTGCCATCTGGGCCATATGACGGAGGATATCTTTTTTTGTAATAATACCAAGGAGGCGTCTATAAAAAGAGAGAAGAAGAGAAATTTAGTGGATGATTTTGGATGAGTGTGGAGGAAACTGACTTGTTTTGTTTGTTGCCAAGTTTTGTCTTTTTTAAAAGCAATTTGTGTGGATTAGGGCTGCACAATATATGGTTTAGCATCGATATCGCAATGTGCGATTATGCAATAGTCACAATACAAGATCTGCGATGTTGTTGATTCAATTCAAGTTCATTTCTATGGTGCTATTCACAATAATTATTGTTTTAAATCAGCTTTACACAAGGTGCACATTACAATTAAATCGGGAAAAGTTTATAAGAAGGCCCACATGAAATCTGTGCACAAAGTAATCTGCAGATTTTTATTTTAATTATTGTGTCTATTTATTCACTTGTGTAAATTTGTATTTATTCAGGTTTTAAATTAATTTAAGTAATATTTTTGACTAAAGGCTGATTTTGATTTCTGCGTCATGCACATGCATATGGTCTGGCGCAGCCTTTGTGCGGTCGCATAGCCCTCGCTGTGGCTGACGCACACCTCTCAAAAATATTTAACTACACATTGCAATGGCACATAGCACAAGCTTTACGATTGGTCGGCTTGGTTGTTTTGATGAGTGTGGGCGGTGCTGAGAGCCTCGAGCCCGATTTAGAGAGCGAGTGTTTACAAGTGTCAAGTCCCATAAAGGAGCTCCAGGTTTTGTTTTGTGTTTACCTCGTGATTAAAAATGTTGCACGTCTACCAGTTCCTTAAATTATCAATGTTTTCAAAGTGCACTGCGAAGGGAGCGCAACTGTCAATATGAAGATCGCTAGAACTGAACTGTTAGAAATACTTTGAAAGCAAATTACACCGAAGAGAGATGACTAATGCTTTTGGCTTTTTAAATCATTCCAACTTTGAATGTTAGAATGTTCTAAATGAATAGGGCATAGGGGGATAAGTAGGAAAAGAACAGTCATGAACCATGTTTCTAACTACAGCTCCAGAGGTGTAGTTGCAAGCATACACGTTTGCGATGCAGTTTGCGAATGTTTGTTGTAATGATGCATATAAACATGTATATATTTAGACTACATTTTAGGTATATATTTAGATTGCATTTCATGTATAACTGTATTTATTGTAAATTCTTTCTTAAAACTTTCCTTTTTGTATTAACATTATATGTTAGGCAGTAACGTAATTTCGTAACAAACGTAATATGACAGTAATGTAATTTCGATTCTCTATATGTCCTGTACATGTGGTTGAATTGACAATAAAGCTGACTTTGACTTGGATTTGGTAAACACTAAATTAACAAACTATGTAACGACGGAACTTGCGACCTTAGTTGGCTAATGATGGTGTTCGGAAACGCACCCCTGAACGAGTTTAAGCTACTTGTACATTAAAGTAGTGTTCTTAAAAAAATAAATAAACCCCTACGAAGAAACTCGACACAGAGGAGCATAAAAACCCGCTGCCAGCTAGTGTTTCTGAAATGTTATTGCAGAGTAACACAAAAGCACGCAGAACTATAAATGCACGATTACGAGCGATGTATGCACCGTGGGTCACGCCGATCACTCAACGCAGAAGTATAAACCAGCCTCAATATAAACATTTTCATAGGATTTATTTATAATACTTGCTTTGTTGACCAAATGAGTGGATTTAATCGGATTTGCATTGTAAATATTACATTAAAACTAAAAAGGTATTATTTTTATTATTACTTGACATTTCTTTTTCTTTTATTTTTTATTTCTGCCAAAACCGTTTGACATAAATCTGCAGATTTCTTACAAAATTCTGCAGAGAAATAGCAAAAACTGTCTGCAGATTCTGTCTGGCCCTAGTTTTAAAGTTACCATAACATTGTTAGCTACTAATTAACTAGAAACTAAGAGCTTTTAACAGTTAAATAGTATTATATAAGTTTAGTAGATAGTTGGGATCAGTTGAGATTATAATTAACCAGGAACCACAGTTCACAAGACAAGCAAAGCTGAACCCTAACAGAGTGAAAGATTTCATTTTTAAGGAAACATTTAAAATGGAAACCATAAAGCACGGTTCATTTCATGTGCATCTTTGTTCTATAGCAGGGGTGTCCAACCCTGATCCTGGTTATCTACCTTCCTGGAGAGTTCACTGATCAAACACACCTGAACTGATCAACTAGGACCTGAACAGCACTTGAAAATTACAGGCAGAACTTTGATATGTTTGATATGGGCAGCATCTGAAATCTGCAGGAAGGTAGATCTCCAGGATCAGGGTTGGACATCCTTGTTTATTGTATTCATGTATGCTTGTCATCTGTTTAATATATTTCATTATAAGCACGCTCCCAACAAAATCTTCACAATCGATGTAAAATTATGAATTCTTTCCAAATATATAAATCATTTTCTGAAATTATATTAAGATCGCAACACAGATGAAGTCAGAATTATTTGCCCTTCTGTGAATTTCTTGCAAATATTCCCCAAATGATGTAAAACAGAAGAAAGAATTTTTCACAGTATTACCTATAATTCTTTTTTATTTTATTTTTTATTAAAGTTTTATTTGTTTTATTTCAGCTAGAATAAAAGCAGATTATAATTAGTTTTAAACCTATTTTAAGGTCAGTATTATTAGCCCCATTATGCAATATTTGTTTTCGACAGTCTACAGAACAAACCATCATTATACAATGACTTGCCTAATTACTCTAACTTTAACCAAATTAACCCAGTTATGCCTTTAAATGTCACTTTAAGCTGAATACTAGTATCTTGAAGAATATCTAGTCAAATATTATTGACTGTCATCATGGCAAAGATAAAATAAATCAGTTATTAGAGATGAGTTATTAAAACTATTATGTTTAGAAATGTGGTCATTGAATGAAAATGTTCAATCCGTTAAACAGAAATTGGGGGAAAAATATACTGGGGGTAAATAATTCTGACTTTAAATGATTGCAAAAAAAAATAAAAATAAAAAAATGATTGCAATGTCATTTTTTTCTCCAATATGGTGCAGCCCTAGTATGAATGGACTCAAAGCAGAGATCTTTGCATCATTATTTTTCAAAGGCTCCAAAGGAAGGGTCTTGGCGACAGACAGCGGTCAGTGTGTGGTTTGTAGAGAAGGGCAGAGAGTGTGGGAGGTTGTGTTACACAGGGCAGGAAACTGTAGGTTATTGCTATGAGCCGACAGCACCTACACACACAGTGAGAAGCAAAAGTGTTGTGAGAGAGAAGAGAATCAGAGTGAGCGAACGCCTCCGGCTCATCCACACACTCTGGCCTTCAAAAACAACAACAAGGTGAAGTTGCTTTGCCAGCACAAATTCAAGAGCGTATAATAAAGCACATATTGTGTTTTTGATTTGCTTATGATGTTGGGAGACATTACTTGAAATCAGCATTATGGCATTGCTAGTCTAGTTATAGCATGTGGACATGCACATTTAATTTTATTTCCTTTTCAAATATTTCTCAAATGATGTTTAACAGAGCAAGGACATATTCACAGTATGTCTGATATTTTTTCTTCTGGAGAAAGTCTTATTTGTTTTATTTTGGCTAGAATAAAATCAGTTTTTAATTTTTTTAATCACAATTTTAAGGTCAAAATTATTAGCCCTTTTAAGCTAAATTTGTTTTTGGTTCGGCTACAGAACAAACCATTGTTATAAAATAACTTGCCTAATTAACCTACCTTACTTAATTAAGCCTTTAAATGTCACTTTAAGCTGAATACTAGTGTCTTTAAGAATATCTAGTCAAAAATTATTTACTGTCATCATGGCAAAGATAAAATAAATCAGTTATTAGAGATGAGTTATTAAAACTATTATGTTTATCAAACACAACTGATCCAACTAATGACGGTGTTTATGACTCTTCAGTTTATGACTCTTCTTGAGCACCTTGATTAGTTGTGTGTGAGTTAGGTTGGAGCAAAACTGTGCAGAGCTGCGGCCCTCCAGGAATTGAGTTTGAGACCTATGGTTTAAAAGTTCTCCATGTATTTATAGATCATATAGGTTGAGAACACTGACCTGGACTGACTGTTGTACATTTAGTTATTATTGTTGATATTACTACTACTACTACTACATTACAGTTTTTAAAGCATGTCTATTTTTATTGAATCGATGTTATGTTGAAAAAAAATGTGTATGTATACAGTGCGACTAGGGTTTGCTTGTTTTGAAATTATTAACATGACATGGCTAAAAGATTACTATTTTTAAAAATGTTGCCATTAGTCTGACATTTTATCAATAATAGTCTTAAAAATCTTACATTTGACTAGTGAAACATGCAGAAACCTGATATATATTAGTATTACAAACTCAAAACGATGCACTTTTAAAACACTTTTTGTGTCTCCCAACACTGTTTTTCTGTGCATATTTAGTGGCTACGGAAAGTATTTAAACCCTCAAATAAAGGTGAAGGCGTCATAAGGATGATCAGAAGAAATATTAAATATATAAGCGTCATAGTAACGGCCCATTCACATGGAGCTTTAGCGTCAATGCTTGATTGAGGGCGTGTCTGAAGTTGAGGCTGATGCGATCGTCAATGAAATTAGTCCACAAATGGCTCCTGTCTGAGCTGGGGTATTTGCATAAAGCGATCTGCTTGGCTGACGCTTCCATTGACACTTGAAAAGTTGAGATATCCCCAACTTCTGCAGTGAGCAACTCCACTGAAGCAGCACCGACAGATCCACAATGCAGTTCGGCAAGAAAACAGAATTGTTGACGTTTTGCAGATTTATTAAGAAAGAAAAAATAAATATCACATGGTCCTAAGTATTCAGACCCTTAACGCTCCATTCACAAGGTGCGTCAACGTCAATGCCTCCCATTCACTTTAAATGAATTGGAAGCGTAAACACTGATGCACTGTGTAAATGGGGCGTTAAGGGTCTGAATACTTAGGACCATGTGATATTTATTTTTTCTTTCTTAATAAATCTGCAAAAACGTCAACAATTCTGTGTTTTTCTGTCAACATGGGGTGCTGTGCGTACAATAATGAAGAAAAGAAAACGTAAATGATTTTAGCAAATGGCTGCTGTATAACAGAGTGGAAATTTTAAGGGGGTCTGAATTCTTTCCGTACTCACTGTATATGGCGTCTATACCCAAAACTCAAATCTTTCAAAATGAGAAGGTTCCACTTTAAATACGCTCTTGATTTTGTCTTCGGAAATAAAAAGAAGTGACTTAAGCTTGATGAACAGTTCGTATCACAGAGAGGGAAAGGTGTGACAACTTTGCCGCGAGAGTCCATCCGTGAAGCGCTCGTAAAAAATGATTGTCAAACCTTTTCGTGAAATGCTCGTGAAATGTCTGTGGACAGGAAGGCAGTGAACAGGTCAAAGGTCAGACAGAAAGGGGGATTTTGGGGGACTGTTTTTGTTGTTCTGACTACACACTAGGGTTGTCACGATACTGGAATTCAGTACCAATCAATACTAAAACTTTAACAACGTCCATTTCCCGCTAACAATCAAGCGCGTTCCTAAACAGAGCTGATTGACCATTGTGTTCACATGCTCAACAGAAATGACTGCGATTGGCCGTGAAGCTCATCAGTTCACCAAACTTGTAGCTGTTTACTAAGTGTAACTACAGATACAGAGACAGACAAGTCACGTTGAGAAGCTGGTTAGTTGTCTATAAGCTGACATACGAGCGATCCACTGATGAATCGCGGCTTTAAAACGCATCAGTGTCTCTATATATGTGTTTACACGCAGTAAACAGAGGTGAGTCGGTAAACTGATGACCTTCACGGCCAATCACAGTCATTTCTGTTGAGCATGTGAACACAATGACAAATCAGCGCTGTTTTAGAAGCGCTCATCAGCACTCGAATGTTAGCGGGAAATGGACGTTTGTAAAATTTCAGTGTCAATTGGTAGCGAATTCCAATATCGTGATAAGACTACTACACACTACAAGTGCTAGAACTCTAGAGTCACACCGGCTCACATGATTAACAACACAGCATCCTAAAAACAGCTACTGAGACTACAGAGATGAGCAGATATATGTTGGTGAATGAGAAAAGAAAAGAGTCCGCTACACACGACAGTTACTCGCCAATGGTTTAGGGGGCGGAGCTGCGCGAGGGGTCAGATGTCATCGATCTGTAGCCCAGCGGACGCAGACCGGGCCAAAACAAACAACAGAAATCAAATTCAGATGAAGGACATCACGGCATGTGTATTAAGATGTGCTTTGTGAGTACACGTGCACAATGCAGAACTCAAAGGGAAAGGGGGCTACATAAAGCTGCGGTTCAGAAACACCAGCGCTAACGCTAATCCTGGACAGGAGACACAATCTGAGTGAAAACCAATAGGATGTCTGCAGAGCAATGTAGTCCTGTAGGCTAGGTCCAAAATCGCCACTGCTTTTAATGCTGATTGTTGTGTTATATTTACACAGTTGAAGTCTGAATTATGAGCCGCCCTGAATATTTTTAGCCCAATTTCTGTTTAACGGAAATTAAGTTTTTTCCCTAACATATTAATAGATATATTAGTTTTAATAACTCATTTCTAATTACTGATTTCTGGAAAACTGGCGTTTATAAACAACAGCAGAACTATTATTTTTCATAGTTATTTTACAAAGTTATTTAAAGTACATTACAGCTATACAGTTCCTTCATTCATTCATTTTCAGCTAAATCTCTTTATTAATCCGGGGTCGCCACAGCGGAATGAACCGTCAACTTATCCAGAATGTTTTTACGCAGCGGATGCCCTTCCAGCCCGCAACCCATCTCTGGAAAAAATAATAGCCTATTATGAAAGTAAATAATAATTCACTTTATTGCAAAAATTAATTTTAAATGTGGAAAATAATAAAATAAAATACAAATAATTTCATATTTCAGCAACATTACAACTAGGGTTGGGCGATGTCGACCAATTTGGCATTGTACGATGTCTAATGTGAAACATCACTATGGACGATGGCAGCGTCGTCATAAGCGGAGGTGAATTAATTATTTATAAATAATTATTTAATTAATAAGGAATTAATTATTTGTAGCCTATCCTTTCAACTACCTGACCCGCATGGTCTTTGTTTTACCCATAAACAAATCATAAATAAATAAGTTGCAGACAAATTACTATTCATATATAGAGGGCTTGACATTAACACTTGCCAACCTGCCAAATGCGGGTAGATTTCTGATGTCATGGGTAGACAGTCACTCTCATTAGCCGCTTTGGCTGGTTGAATATAATTTTTAAATCGTAGTTTTCATAAAAGGAGTTCAACAATACGAATTGCCCAATGGAGATGACAATAATGACTATAACTAATAATGGCAGGTGAATATGGAATGAGAGGATGATTACACACACAGGAAGACACAGGTGATTCTGACACACTGACGAGGGCTTCAGTGTCAAGGCTGATTTGAATTGATGTGATTTGCATGAGGCCTTAAAAGTTTCAAACAGAAACCACCTTGCGCGAAGCATTCGTGCCTGCAAACATAACTAATGCAATTGATTCTCTTTTAAATAGACCGGAGAAAAAGCAACACTTTTAATGTCTTTTTGTAAGAAGCAAGGTTGCTTTCGCTTTAACCTTTCATGCGATCATCCTTTCATTATCGCACATGGTATGTTTTTCACCTGCTTTCTTTTGCTTGGTTATTTTTGGGCTTAGAATTGTTTATTTTTTTACTTATGGTGTGGCTAGAGAGAAATATTTGGTAAATCCTTAGTGTTGAGCGCTGCAAAGTCATGTGAAATAAAAACCAATTGCAATGCGACACTGTGAAAGCACAACGTATTTGCTCATGCTTATTGAGCAAGCTCATACACAACACAAAACAGTGAAATGAATGAGGAGGCATGTGGACATAACACAAAATCTAAATCAAGTAATTATAGCATGCCAAAGTCCAATATTACATATACAAGATATATTTTCACAACTACAAGGTGTGGCTAGTGAAAATGGCAAGTAATGTTGGAAAACTACTAGCCACAGTGGCTGGTGATCAAAATTAGTCATTGTCAAGCCCTGTATGCATATTGCGATCAAGATTTTTGAAAGTATTACAGCGCTTTGTAAACGTTTCACCACTATATGACTTTTGGCCAGCGGAGAAATTAAAATGGTCGTGCCCAACTGAGTCTGGTTCCCTCAAGGTTTTTTTTTTTTCTTCACTCCCATCAGGTGAAGTTTTTTTTAATCACACTGAACTGAGCTGAACTGAACTTAAACACTAAAAACTGAACTACACTGTTCCAGTTACTATGACCATTTATGTGAAGCTGCTTTGACACAATCTACATAGTAAAAGCGCTATACAAATAAAGCTGAATTGAATTGAATATGCTGAGCCTCCCCATACTGTTTGATATACCACTCGGAGCTGGAAGCACGTAGCGTGACGTCACACTTATCAAGCGGATATTGCGTTTATACGAATAGCCTATATCAGATTTGTGAAAGTGTTGACAACACGATACTAGCAGCACTCGACGGACAAACAGGGTTTTTCCCTACAGAAGTCTGCTTAATCTTTAACCAAACCTTCATATCTTGTATTTCCGTCACCTTGGAATTATACGGTTCTATCTGCGTTCTGAAGGATTTTGAGATATTGAGCTTCAGAGTTTTTGCATTCCATATAGCAAACAGTATGTGTGTAACATTTGTTTTTTAAATAGAAAGCCTTAAAATGTAAACAACTTATAAAAAATGTACCATTAATCAGGGCTCAACAATAAGAACTGCCTGATGGTCCGGGGCCAGCATGAGAGACGCTCGGGACAGCAGACAGAATCGTTACTAGCCTAATCGGGCTAGTGTTGCCTTGTCACTAAATTGTAATTTGCCTGCAACTATTTATCAATTGTGTGCAAATACAGTCTAGAATGCTACCTTCTCTGTAAAGTCGTAAACACAATATTGCTTTTCGGTTCCTCTTATCTGATTGAATGTTGTAAGCACATTATTTTTTTCTGTCATCTGGTAAAAACCAGTACAGCAAAGAGATGGCAACATCAAATTATGAAGCTGAAAGACAACTTCTGTTTCTAAAGTCTCGGAAACAGACATTTACTTGGATACAACATTCATTTCATTCATTCATTTTCTTGTCATCTTAGTCCCCTTATTAATCTGGGGTCGCCACAGCGGAATGAACCGCCAAGTTTTTACGCAGCGGATGCCCTTCCAGTCGCAACCCATCTCTGGGAAACATCCACATACACATTCACACACACTCTCATACACTACGGACAATTTAGCCTACCCAATTCACCTGTACCGCATGTCTTTGGACTGTGGGGGAAACCGGAGCACCCGGAGGAAACCTACGCGAAGGCAGGGAGAACATGCAAACTCCACACAGAAGCGCCAACTGAGCCGAGGTTCGAATCAGCAACCCAACCAACCTTCTTGCTGTGAGGCGACAGCACTACCTACTGCGCCACTGCCTCGCCTTGGTTACAACATGATAAAAAAATTAAGTGCTATTCTGAACAGTTTGCTGTCAGTTTGGCAAGTCAGTCACCTTTTTTGCTTTGCAATAAAATACCTGCACATTTTCCATACTGCTTTATTTTACTGCCAAATATTTTAACATTTAAAAATATTTAAATTCTAGATTCACAGGCGTTATTTTTTATACATTATGTAAAATATGTGTCTAAGAAATGGCAATAACTTCTTTTTTTTTTTTTTTGGTGGGGCTAGTGAAAATTTCGGCAGGGCAAGTAAAAATCTGAACCACTGATCCAATCGGGCCAGTAGAAAAATCCTTAGCGATGCACCCTGATAATGTAAATAAGTTGTCATTTATTAAGAATATGTCAATAACGTAATTTTGACAAAAATGTCAGAACCTTATAATTCTAAGGTGACGATTTGTATATCCTGATTTTAATGATGGTTAAAATTTCAGTGTATTTTATTTATTTTTTCCACTGAATATATTACTGTCATAATATAAGTGTGTTCGTTTTTGGACCCTGCATTCAGGAACATTGTTGAAGTTTTCTCAGAAAATACGTGCACTTAAATTAACAACCGTCTGAGGTTGTATAAACTCTTGCAGACATCAGTGAATAGAAATGAGAATACGTGTATCCAATTAACTTAAATCTTACACAATACACAAAGTCAGAATCATTAGCCCTCCTGTATGTTTTTTCCCTAAGAGGAAAAAATATTATCGAAAATACTGTGAAGAATTCCTTACTCCGTTGAACATCATTTGGGAAATATTAGAGAAATTCAAAGAGGGCGAATAATTCTGACTTCTCTAACTAGCTTAACTTCGACTGGTGTTTTAGGGGCAACCATCCAGAAATCTCTCTTCATTTTTTGTTTGTTTGTTTTTTCACTCAAGTTTCATGCGTCCCTCCTAAGAGGCGGAGTCTAACAGGCAGAGGGGGGCGGGGCGTGGGCGGGGCTAATCACCAAGGGCTCCACGTGCTGCTTGATCTCTTCCAGATGCTCTAAAATATTCTTCTTTGTGATGATGCCCAATACAATCCTGCAACACACACCGTGACGACCATCACTTAGCAACAAAACAAAAATCACACCCACAACTCAAGTACAAACAAACAGAAATCAAAACAACAGAAGCAAACATGAACAGAAATGTACTGAGATCACCAACACAAAACAACAGCAATCGAACAAATGATCTGAACATAATCAAACTGTACATATCAGTGTGTGAACTTAAAATAAGGATCAAATCAGGATCGGAATAAGTGTTGAGAGCAATGACTTTACCGTACAGGAACACACATTACTCAATCCACAGTTCTGCAGTCAGATTATTGTTTTGTTGGCCTCTGGAGATGAAATGGTTACTCAGAAATGGTTCCTGTAACGCAGAATAGGGTCTAACCTCACTTAGTCAGTGTGAGTGTGTGTGTGTGTGTGTGTGTGTGTGTGTTTTTTGTGTAGTCTGAAGTCCAACCACTATATCATAAATATGACTCAAAGACAAAAATAGATTTTCAAGCACCCAAACAATGAAAGTGAATTACTAATGTTATCTTGTTGTTTTTAATAAAGACCATCAAATGTTTTTATTATGATTTGCATTAGACACTCAGCAGAATGTCATTCATTCGGTTTCGTTCAACTTAGTGAAGTTTATCAACTAATTTCAAAAGGATCATGTGCTTATGATTGCTTGCGGCTGATTTCGCATTAACATTTTAATCCAGATGGATGGGGCAACCATTACTGCATCCAAAATGGTGAAAAGCCTTGGAGAAACGATTGATGACCAACTAAACTTCTCTGACCACATTTCTAGAACTGCTCGATCGTGCAGATTCGCACTCTATAACATCAGAAATATCCGACCCTTCTTATCTGAACATGCAGCTCAACTCCTTGTTCAAGCTCTTGTTCTCTCCAAACTGGATTACTGCAACTCTCTAATATCCGGGCTTCCAGCTAACTCTATCAAGCCTCTTCAACTGCTCCAGAACGCAGCAGCACGAGTGGTCTATAATGAACCTAAATGAGCACATGTCACTCCGCTGCTCATCCGTTTGCACTGGCTGCCAGTTGCTGCTCGCATCAAATTCAAAGCTCTGATGTTTGCTTACAAAGTGATTTCTGGCTTTGCTCCTTCTTATCTGCTCTCACTTCTGCAGATCCATGTGCCCTCCAGAAACTTGCGTTCTGTGAATGAACGTCGCCTCGTGGTTCCATCCCAAAGAGGGAAGAAATCACTTTCCCGAACTCTCGTGTTCAATCTGCCCAGTTGGTGGAATGAACTCCCTAAATGCATCAGAACGGCAGAGTCACTTGCTGTCTTCAAGAAACGACTAAAAACTCAACTATGTAGTCTCCACTTCACTTCCTAATCTGCAATTGCCTCTCTGGATTTCACACTAACTGTACTCAAAAAAAAAAAAAAAAAATACTAATACTTTCCTTCTTAGACTTAACACACCTGTAACTTGCCTATAGCACTTATTCATTGTTGCTCTTATAGTTGTGTAAATTGCTTCCTTGTCCTCATTTGTAAGTCGTTTTGGATAAAAGCGTCAGCTAAATGACTAAATGTAAATGATTCACCAATCAGTCGATTCCTAAACCACTATAAATACCCTAAGCTCTATATAACAGCCATCTTCGTTTTGCAGAATCCCGCCTTCCACCCCTACTCCTCCTCCTTTCCTAGATGGGTGGCACGGTGGCCCAGTGGTTAGCACTGTTGCCTCACAGCAAGAATGCAAATAGTTCTACTCCTTACCGCGCCAGCTGATGTTTCTGTGTGGAGTCTGCATGTTCTCCCCGTGCTCACATGGGTTTCCTCCAGGTTCCCGGTTTCCTCCCACCGCCCAAAAACATGCAACTTAAGTTAATTAAGTTAATTAACTAATCCAAATCTGCACCATCGACATGCTCCTAGTAAGTAGTTATCTCTCAAGAGCAACCACTATCTGTTCATTAGCTACTACAGCAGGGGAGTTCTCGAGATCTACCAGAGCTCAAACTCCCCTCTCGCCCTGCAAACGCGAGGAAGCCCGGGCTCAAGGATCTTCTGAGCTCAGGGCTCTCTCCTGGGACAGCATGCCAAACAAGCTTTATAATCAATCATCAGCTAAGTGTAAACTCCCTTATTTAATGAACCACCAACTATTCCAGCATATGTTTTACGCAGAGGATGCCCTTCCAGCTGCAACCAAGTACTGGGAAACACATATAGACAGACACACACACACACTCATACACTACAGCCAATTTAGTTCATCCAATTCACCTATAGCACATGTGTTTGGACTTGTTGGGGAAATGGAGCACCCGGACGAAACCCACACCAACACAGAGAGAAAAATGGATGGTATTAAATTCTTTCTCTTGCTCAAAGAAAAATTAAGTAATTTGCATTATATTTTTGTTGCTTTGATGCTTGAAAATCCTCTTTTTATCTTTGACCCATATATCATCTGAAAATGAAAGATGGCACAAATGAATCACAAAGTTGCCGATTTTGAGACCTTGACTTGAAAGAGCCGGTTTAACTGATTCATGAAAGAAGTTTTGACATAAATATAAAAAAAAATAGAGATATTACGGCTTGGTGATTAATCGAAGGCATTTTTCACGCACATTTTGTCAGTAAAGCCAGATCTAGTAAATCTCCAGCATTTACAACACAGAGTCGTAGCACAGGAACAATCAAAACAGAAATCAGTTTACTCAGATGATAATGAAATTGAGATCATCGTTCTGTCATGACGTTTGCGTCGCTTCTCATTAAACTACAGCTCTGTGGAGTAAATCTTGTACTTGAAAATACAGCATTTAATAACGTTTTTACTTCAAACTCACTTAATAACTTCAGTCGAATGTTTAAAATAAATTATTAGATGCTAGTCACACTGAATCAATGAAGTCTGTTGGTAAAGCAATGCTATGGGGATTTCCTGAGTTTTTATTCTTTGTTGGTGTTCGTAGTTTCAGCATGAGAGCGCCCTCTCTGGCCTTCGGGGGGGATTTACTATTGATTACAGAACTGTGCTTCACTGACAAGATGTGCAAGACAATCATAGCTTTGCTCAAATGCGCACGTCATCACATTTATTTCATTCTAATCGCACGCAAAGTCCTAATAAATATTTAAAAAATTGATGTTTTTATTTTAAATCGCTGTATCAAAATCATAGTGCGTATATTGTGAGCAGTCTTAAGGGATATTGTTAAGGCTGCAGCAGCAATGTGAGTTTGCTCTGTGTGTGTGAACATGTTCACGTGTGTGCTGCAAGCAGCCGAAAGTTCTGAGAGTTCAGTATGTGAATTCACAGATGCACAAAAGCATGACTTGAGTCCCATCAGCAGACGTGTGTGTGTGTGAGGGTGTGTGTGTGTATGCTTGTGTGTTTACGGGAAGGGCGATATGTTAAAGTTGGCAATTTACTGATAAAAAGTCTCCTAAAATAAAACACAATATCTTCTTAGTGACAACGATAAAACTTTTAATCGGTCTGTGCGAGGAATAAATGTAGCGCAGCAGTACTAAGTGTGCGCTACAGTTTTTGTGTGCGTCTGAGTCTGTTTGCAAATGCAGATTTACTGACAAACTTTAACTTTACTTCAAGTGTCTGAAATCGAATCTTTTTGTGACCAAACATGGTTTCATATCACAGAAAGAGGAAGAAATCAGACTGCTGTATAGTATTCAATATAGTGATAAAGCCTGAGTCAATTAGTATTGCGTTATAAATATAAAAAATACCCAGGTATAAACAATTTTTAAATTAATACATAGCAAAAAAAAAAAAAAAAACACTAAGAAAATTAAAACTTTTCTCTGAAGATACAGGACGTCTTATCTCTCAGTGGATATGTTTGAAGTCAAAATTATTTGCCCTCCAGTGATGATTTTTTTCTTTTTTAAATGTTTCTTAAATGATGTTCAACAGAGCAAGGAATCTTTCGCAGTATTTCCTATAATATTTTTTCTTCTGGAGAAAGCCTTATTTGATTTATTTTGGTTAGAATTAAAGCAGTTTTTCATTTTTAAAAATTACATTAAGGTCTATAATATTATTAGCCAATTAAGTTTTTTTTTTGATTGTCTACTGAACATGCTATCGTTATACAATGACTTGTCTAATTACAGGGTTTAAGCAGGTTTCACAAAGTCAAATTTTACACTTCAAGACCTTTTTTAAGACCACGAAGAATGAAATTTCAGACGCATTTAGAGCTAAATGCTAAGGGTTTTTTGATGGCCCAGTAGAAAAAAACATAAGTTCTAATAGGGTATATGCCGAAGCATGCTAATAGGACTTTGAATTTGCCAGTAACCTGGGTCAAGCGCTTCCGATGAACTGTACGCCATTGCAAAATTGGCGCGTTTAAGGTCTGTTTTCTTTAAAAATCTGCAATCTCCACTGGCTGAGTGATATCCGATATAAAGTGGGTCTCAAATTGTAAAAGAAGCACTGCATTAAATTACATTTTTCCCAGCCATGTCTTTAAAATATGAGCATTTATTTTACCCCAGTATATTCAATGGAGCTCCTGCACTAGCCTGCCGATTCTGACAGGTGCGTGCGAGTAAACAGCTTTTTGTCTCGTTTTACGCTCGAGCAACTAAAGGAATGAAAAAGTTTATTTAACTGAATGGATTTTCATCACATTACAACATTAATGCTGTAAAAGGAACCGTATAAAATGTAAAAAAAACCTCACAATAACAGGTCACCAGAAGTTTATCAGTAGGGGAAAAACACTAGCTCGGCATATACCCTATTAGTTATTTCTTAGCCACATATTTTAAATAATAAAAAAATCTGTCAAAACAGATGCTAGCTGTATGCATAACTATTAAACATATACATCATATATATATATATATATGAAGAGTTTAGATGCAAAAACGTCTAAATGTCATGTGAATTGTTTTTCTAAAATGAGCATTTTTATCAGGCTCCTAAGTGTAGTTTTCAGTAATATCACATTTATCGCAAAGAGTAAGTCCCTTTCATGGTCTTTAAAGAGAAATAACTCAACATTAAAAGGAGGCTGAGAAAAATGTTCATTTTTGATGGTAATTTCAGACAGCCATTAGAGGTTTTTGCATCTGAACTTTTCATATATACAGTGCTCAGCATAACTGAGTACACTCTATTTTACTAAATGAATACTACTAAATGAATATTTTCTCCATTTCCCAGTGAATATAGGTAATATATATTGGTGCATTTAAATAAAACCGATTTATTGAACAGATATATTTATCAAAATAATATTTTAGTCATAGAACATCTTTAGAAATGAAAAAATAATACATTTAAATTCATGCAAAATATTGCAAAAATAAAAATTTAATTACAAAGTACATTTCCAGGAAATTGTATGTTTTTGTTTCTCTTGATTTTTTGATATTTTTGAAAATTTCATTAATTTTTTCCCAACACAAAACTTTGGGCTACTAATTTTTTAACCATTATTGTTAGTTATTATTTTTTTAAATAAGCTCCAGATTTGGCTTCATTTAATGACTAATTTAATGTATATACACAAATATAATATTGTAAAGTTTCCTATAGAATATATTCATTTAAATGAGAGATTGGTGAGGGCTTTACTCGTATCTGCTGAGCACTGTATACATTGAAAAATAACTCTTTAAAAACTAAATGTATGGAAAACAGACTGTTATAATATTACTTATATAGTTTTGCTACAAGTTATTGATATGTGTTGTTGGTGATTGGATGTGTGTTGGATCGATTGAGCAGCTTTAAAAAAAAACAAGGGAAAATTAAGACCTGTTTAAAATTATTTAAGACCTATGAGACAACATTTCAGTCAATTTAAGCTTTTTTAAGGCCTAAAATTTTGTTTCTGAATTGTAAGATATTTTAAGACCTTGCAGATATCCTGAATTACACCAACTTAACCTAATTAAGCCTTGAAATGTCACTTTAAGCTGTATAGAAGTGTCTTGAAGAATATCTAGTCAAATATTATGTACTGTCATCATGTCAAAGATAAAATAATGCTGACCTCAGCTGTACGCATGAATTATCATCACTGATATCGCTATAAATACTAGAAAATATTGTGATTTAGTCCATATCGCCCATCTCTAGTGTGTGTGTGTGAGTGTGTGTCTGCTGATGGGACGTTTGTTACGTTAGTTCAGATGCATGTCAAACGCATGTCATCCCGCCGGACACTCACCCATTATGGGTCACGAGGCACTGGCGAAGGCCCAGCTTCCGGAAAATGTCCACCACGATCTCCATGGGCGTGTGATCGGTGACGGTGAACGGGCTCATGTCCAGAATGCTGCGCAGCTTTAGCGGCCGCGGGCTGTCGGCAGGGAGCGTTGGGGCATGCTGGGTAAAGTACACCCGTGAGTTCAGCACGATGCCCTCCTGCTTACGCCGGGCGTTTTCTGGAAAAATAAAAACATACTGGTCGATTTGTGGACAGAGAAAAGTGCAAATATAACATAATATAACAAAAACATGTTGCCCAATTTCTGTTTAACACATTCCTAAACATAACAGTTTTAATAACTCATCTGTAATAACTGATTTATTTTATCTTTTACTGTGATGACAGTCAATAATATTTGACTAGACACTTCTATACAGCTAAAAGTGATATTTAATAGCTTAACTAGGTTAATTTTAGGCAAGTTATTGTATAATGATGGTTTGTTCTGGAGACAATCGAAAACTATAATTGCTTAAGGGGGCTGATAATATCAACCTTTAAATGGTTTAAAAACTAAAAACTGCTTGTATTCTAGTCAAAATAAAACAAATAAGAATTTTTCCAGAAGAAAAAATATTATAGGAAATACTGTGAGAAATTCCTATATACTGTAAACTGATCATCTAATGTTTACGTTATTAATAACTATATTATAAGCCAATTAAAAACCACCTCGTGTGGCTTATTCTGCATTTCATGCTGTCCTCCAAAGGGTGCACTTTTGGCCGCACTCAGATAAACACTCCACACTCAGAGGTCTTGAAGAGTGAAATAAAAGACTACAAGAAAACTTGTGGTGCTGAGATATAATTGGCTAAACTGGCAGTGGGCTGGTTATAGAGACCAAAACAAAGACAGACGTTTCACACACACAGAAGCATGCAGTCAGCATGCTCATTCGCACACTGAGACGAGCAGAGCGTAGTCTGTGCACACATCTTAAGTTATCTTAACGTGAGCGCTTTAATGGTCAAATAGGTGTCAAAACGCAGTGTTTAGTGATTATTCATATTAACCCTCATTTGTGTAATAAACATGGAAGTTGAGAATCAAAAGACGTGAAAGAGAAACCATTAAAGTAAAAGCGCGCGATGTTTCTGCTGCCGCCTGTTTTTATCCTTAATCAAACAACAAAACGAGAAAATCCCTCACTGCTCTTGACTGAAGGACTTTTGTAGCTAAAGTGTTTTTATTACAGTGAAGATGCATAAAGCACAGTTTGTTTCATATTTTTATTCTATTGTATTTATTTATCTTTCCTTTGCAGGGTGGAAAATAACTGTATGCAGTTGAAGTCAGAATTATTAGCCCCCCTGAATATCCTGAATATAGCAACCCTTTTCCTCCCCAATTTCTGTTCCATGGAAAGAAGATTTTTTTTTACTTATTTCTGAACATAATAGTTTTAATAACTAATTTCTAATAACTGATTTCTTGCTATGATGACAGTACATAATATTAGACTATTTTCAAAATACAAGCATTCAGATTCAAAGTGCGATCCAGACTTAATAACGGGTTATTAGACAAGTCATAACAGTAGTTTCTTCTGCAGACAATCAAAAATATTTAATGCTTAAGGGGGCTAATAATATTGACCTTAAAACGTTTTTCAAAATATTTAAAACTGCTTTTATTCTAGCTGAAATAAAAAAAGCCTTTCTCCAGAAGAAAAAATATTATAGGAAATACTATTAAAATTCCTTGCTCTGTTAAACATCATTTGGGAAATATTTATTTTTTAAAAATTCTCTGTAGCGCTAATAATTTTGGCTTCAACACTATAAGTTTTGAATAATCGTGATTACAATTATGACCAAAATAATCGTAGTTATGATTTTTCCCAAAATCGAGCAGCCCTAGTTCACGGCATGTTTCTTGAATATCTGCAAACGTTTTATGGTTTAGAACAGTATACAGCACCTTTAAATGGATAGTTCACCCAAAAAACCTGAAAATTAAGCCATGATTTACTCACCCTTCACTTGTTCCAAATCTTTATGACTTTCTTTCTTTTCTCAATTCAATTCAGGATTATTTGTATGGTGCTTTTCACTAGGACTGCACAATATATCACTTAAGCATCGATATCGTAATGTGTGTCTCCAAAATAGTCACATCACTGGATGAGATTATTTATCAAAGTTTACAACAAAGATCTGATCAGGGTTTCTGCAGGTTTCACAAAGACATTTTTAGGACCATTATGAAACAAATAGGGTGCTTTCACACCTAGACTTTTGTTTTGGAACCTGTCTCGTTTCCCCAGTTAGCGCGGTTCGTTTGGCATATGTGAATCCACCAATCGCGCTCAGGTCTGCACCAAAACAATTGCTCTGAGATCGCTTGAATGAAGTGGTCTCGGCTCGATTGAAACGAACTCTGGAGCGGATCGAGTGTAGTGAGAAAGCGATATGATCTGAGCCCGGCTATATCACAGTGTTTTATGGATATGCAATAGGCATACGGCTATATGAAGAGAGAATTATCAGTAGGGCGGGAGGTCATTCTACAGACATCCCAAGTCTCCCGCAAATGCACAGATTCTGGATGCCCACAAACGAATGATAATCTCCTGGAAATCGTGCATCTCCCTCCTGGTAAAGGGCTAAAGCAGGGGTCGGGAACCTTATTTCAGCAAAGAGCCATTTTAAATTTTTTTTAGCATTTGCATTTTGTAAAGAGCCAGTTAGATGTACATATATATCTCTAAATACCTCTTTAAAAATGCATTTGCTACTGTATTGCTACTATAAATAATAAAGGTTCAAACAAAACTTAAATTTTTTGTCCAAGTACAACTCAAACATAAACTAATATGAAGCATCACATATTGCACAAGTTCACGAATGAAAAAAAAACTATTTATAGGATTTTTATTTTCACTATCACCATTTAAGAATGTTGTTTGAGTTTAAGTGCGCGAGGTTATCATAGAAACGCAAGTTGTTTTGTTTTGGTGCCGCAATTCAAAACGTCTGTTTGTTCTTAACTGAGTTCTTATTCATATAGCTGTAAAAAATGACATAAAAAGGGAATCGTAAGTGTATTTTCAAAAGGGAAACCGTAAAATATTATTGAATGAAGACAGCTGGAGAGCCACGATTTTTTGGTCAAAGAGCCACATGTGAGAGCTATAGGTTCCCTACCACTGAGCTAAAGGCAAAGGAGTTTTTCAAATGTCCAAGATGGAAAAGATTTGCCCTATCAAAAAAAAGATACAATTTAATAATACAATAATATATTCATATTAAAAAATACTTTAGATTTTTTAAATATTGTGTAAAAACAAGCAAGCTTTACTAGTATCCATACTAGGGATGGGAAGATTAACCGATATGTATCGATACGCGGTCATGCGCGTGCACGATGCGAGTGCATCGGTTGAGCAGCAGAGGATGAATGAAATTTTGGAAGCAAATCGAGATGCATCGGTTTTTGCGAGATGCATCGATTTTTCCGAGATACAGCTTATATTTTTAATATAGAATGTATTTTTTATTTATTAACAAGTGTTGTCAACCTGTTTTTGGCGCATAATTTAATCGACCTACATAAAGTAAGCCTTAGCAACGGATTTGCGGATGTGCACACACTACAACTCAGTGTATGAGGTGTGCGGATGAAGCAAGTGGAGCGCCCTCAGAAAGCGCGAGAAGCAAAACAAACATTTTATTCCCCACTGAGTTTTAAATCTAAAGTATGGCAACATTATGGATTTAAGGATGGACGACATGACAGGACAGATGCAATTTGCAAAATGTGCCGCGCATCTGTAAAATACGCGGGCAGTCCGACTAATCTGAAATGTCACTTGAAGCGGCGCCACGGTGTTGTTGTAAAAGCATCTTCTAGTGTTTCTGCATCCCCGGCTTTCGCACTGCTTCAACCAGCTCCAAAAGTGGTGAGAAAAGCATTGAAAGTTTTTTTTCCATGCGCAACAGTTCTGCTCGCTCTACGCCAATAACGGATGCTATTGCATTGTTCATCTGCAAAGATATTCAGCCTAGTGTCACGGAGAACGAAGGTTAAACACCTCCTCCTGTTAATTTTTATTTAATAATAATAATAATAATGATAAAAATAATGGGTGTCACGGTGGCACAGTGGGTAGTTTGACCACCTCACAGCAAGAAGATTGCTGGTTTGTTATATTTTTATTAGCCTGTTGTTTACAGTGACAGTGATGTTTCAAAGCAGCATAACACTGCTAGTTCACAACCTTAAGTTTTGAATATTCAGTGGCAAAATATATCTTTGTAAAACTTGTTTTCATAGTTGAAAAGTTAAATCACAATTCTTGTTGTGCAATGCTAAATTTATTTATGTTGAAAGAGTGCAAATATATACATTTATAATATATATTGCACTTATACATTCTGTTTATCTTGAAAATACTTAAATAATATGTGCTATAGGTTCTAAAATGGCCCTCTACTGTAAACTGACACTCTGGCTCTGAGAGAAGAGCCAGTTTGTAAAAAAGTCTTGGTTTTGCTTGGTTTATAAATAATCAAACTCATTCAATGGCACAGCATCCTCTTTCACATCATCTCATAAACTTGATCTAATTAGTTAGTGCTGAAATATCGCATCGTATCGTGATATGGGTGTGAATCGTATCGTGTTGCATCGCAATATGTCACAAATGTATCGCTAATATATCGGATCGTATTCTTTGTATCGAGATGCGTATCGGATCGGCATTATAGCTTAGATGCCCAACCCTAATCCATACACTTTTTTCCTTAAACTTTCTTTCAAATAAAACAAATGAACAAAATGTTTTAAGTTTTAAAAACTATAATAAACTAAATCTATGCACAACAATCTGTCCCGGTTGGGGTTCTCAGTGGTAAATATGTGGAGAACTTTTAAGCAAATGTTATAGTAAGGAAAATAATTAAACCATTATGATAAACAGAGTTAAAAATGACCTTTTTGAAAAGAAAGTTTAAAGTTTTATTGAGCTGGATTGTTGGTGATTGGATGGGTTTTGGCCAGATTGGGAAGCAATACACAAACAAAGGAAAATTTGAGACCTGTTTAAAAAGATTTAGGACCTACAAGACAGCATTTCAGTAGATTTAAGACTTTAAGGCCTAAAACATTGATTTTGGGATTAAAGACTTTTTAGGACCCTGCAGAAACTCAGTATGATTAAATGGTATTGTTTTTAAATTGTTCCTACAATGATGACCATGTTTAATTGTTCAATTTCTGTATCTGAATACTGTCAGACCCTCTAGAAAACCATAAGGCACTGCTTATGTCACCTTTATCTCCGCTCTGTTGTATTTTTTAATATGCTTGTAATTTATTTTAAATTATGCAAATGCACTGCATAGAAGAAGACTTGATGATGAAAACCCATCTAAATGAGCGAAGTCTTTCCAAATAGAACTATTCAATGCATCTGGTGAAATTATATTCATATAGCAATATATAATCGCAGAAGGGCTGCACGATTAATAAAAAAAAAATTACGATCTCGATTCGACCCTACACACCATCTTAATTCAGCTTTTCCACAATTTAGCCAATTTAATTTTCAAGGTCAGGAGAGAAGCGTAAAGGTGGACGCACAAGTCTTCCCATTGTTTTATATACGTTGCTCAGCAACATGAACACCTCCAAATGCTGTTAAAAGTGTCGCATACTGTATTCATAAAGCAGTGGTCACCAAACTTGTTCCTGGAGGGCCGGTGTCCTGCAGATTTTACCTCCAACCCTAATCAAACACACCTGAACAAGCTAATCAAGCTCTTACTTGGTATACTCAAAACATCCAGGCAGGTGTGTTGAGGCAAGTTGGAGCTAAAGCCTGCAGGGACACCGGCCCTCCAGGACCAGGATTGGTGACCCCTGTCAACTCACCCCAAAATATAATTTCTGTTTTAAAGTGATGATGTATTCGCTGAGTAAATTTTCGTTTTTTGGTGAATTATCCCTTTAAGCGCTGCTCCTGTCTAATCTCAGTGGACTGAGAAACAAAAAACATTAAGAAAAAAGTTGAGTTTAGTGTTATATTGAGAGTTTTGAGTTACCTATAGCAATAGTAATGTCCCTGCGCAGGGCGAATCCCACCAGCCTCTGGGACTCTTTGGAGACGATGACAGGGAAGCCATTGTAGCTGGTTTCGGAGATGATGCCCTGCAGTTCAGCGAGAGTCATGTCGTCCTGCGTCAGAACTGCTAGTGGTGGGTCACTGCGCCGTGGACGCATGACTTCTCTGGCTAGCGTGGTGTGCGTGAACTCCTCTTTAGCGTCCAGGAAAGGGTATCCATTCAGGCGAATGTGGGCTTCGTAAATCCCCTCTCGGCCGAACGCGTCACCCACCCATTTACTGGTCATCACTGCCGCCATCAGCGGGACGATGTACTCAAGACCGCCCGTCAACTCAAAAACAATGACCACCAGAGACACGGTCATACGAGTCACGCCACCTGCAGCACATACAACGCAGAGAAAACATCTGTTACATCTTCTAAATCAGAGCAAACTACATATATACAATTGAAATCAGAAAAAAGTAAATCAATAAACTAATTCGTAAGCAGGAGCACGAATTAGCCATTTTCGACATGGAGATGCAGTGACGAGAATTAACAATGCAGGAATCTTTCGAGGCCCTGCAATTGGAATGAGCACATCCCAAACCCATGGGCAAGAACCCATTAAAGGGCAAGTCTGCTGCCAGAAGCCACGGTAATTGCAGCTCCAATAGCGTATGCTAACGCTTCTGCAGTTAAAAAGCTTGCAGTTGGATCTCAGGGACTGGCCTGCGTGGACCGGCGTAAGGGGAGAAACCACCGGTCCTAGACAAGCAGGCCTCCATGTGGCCCCCGAATGCCCTGTTCAAAGCAGGGCCAGCACCCTGCCCCATTGAATACCACATCTAGGAATAATGGAATAGGACCCCAGTTCTACTTCCTGTGCGTTTACGGAATCGATGATCGAGAGGGACGCCCGGGGGCATTCATATTGCACCCCCAGAGGTAAAATCCTTGGACGGACGCTAGACAGACCGGAGCGAAAGCGTTTGCCAAGAACGTTTTTTATTAATGAAGAATGAAAGTCAAAGGTTCGAAGTCAATCAGATACCATCAGAGTTCTGATCCTGGGGCTCCTGGGGGAGTATAGTCGCAAAGCTCAAACCTAAAGGAATTGAAGGGCACCACCAGGAGTAGAGCCTGGGGTTAAATTGGACTCTGGGAACCTCACCCCGCGCAGACACAGAAAAGATTGACAGATTGATGGCTCTTTCTCGATTCTGTGGGTGGTGGTGCATGGCCGTTCGTTGGTGGAGCGATTTTGTATGGCTGATTCAGATAACGAATGAGACTCCGGTATGCTAAATAGTTGCACAGTTGACATTGGCAACTTCTTAGCGATTAACCACGCAAGACTGAAAATAACAGGTCACGTCCTTAGATGTCCGGGGCTGCACATGCACCACAATGGACAGATTAACGTGTGCCTACCCTGCACTGGCTAGTGCGGCTAACCCGTTGAAGCCCCTTGTGATGGGAACTGGTGATAGAAACTGTTTCCCAGTAACCACAGGTCAAAGTCATCAGCTTGTGTTGATTAAGTCTGAGTACTTTGAACACACCACCCATCGCTACTACAGATTAAGCAGCTCAGGGAGAACCTCTGGGATTGCCCAGGGAGCGGCGAGAAGAGGACCAAACATTTAGAGGAAGTGAAAGTCGTAACAAGGCTAAATGGAAGAAGATGAATGAATGCGAAGGCATTAATAGTGTTCATCACTGATGTTCACAGTGTTTTGTTCTGATAGTATGCAGTGTGATGTAGAAGTGTATGTATAATACAGACACACATTAATATAAACGCACCCAGACATGCGGCGGCTCCCACCATGGCGTAGAGTCCCGGCGTGATGCAGTCAGCACCGACCTCACACCACTCTCTGAACACAAACCAGTCGTGATGATAATACGCCAGCTGCTCCACTGCAATGCCCACAATCCTGCCCGCAATCGCCCCGATGGCCATACTGGGGATGAAGAGACCCGACGGCACCTACAAACACACACATATTAACATGTAACATTAATTATTATTTAATTGCTTGTTTAATTATTAAGCAATTAAACCAGTTGTTTTGAAAAGACTAATATGTCATGTGCTAAGGTGAATAATATCACATCCCTGTATTTTGATTAGTAAGAAATACAAGGCTTATCCACAAAGCTTCACTATACTTGGGCACACATCCAAACAGAGAGTTTTGTATTACTGCTCCTCCACATACACTGGCTTTAGCAATATATCCACAGATTTATTAGAGTAAATGTTGTTTTAATGTCACAACTAAGCACATTCATCCATTTTTCTTGGGCTTCGTCCAGGGGTGGGCAATCTCGTTGCTGGAGGGCCGGTGTCCTGCACAGTTTAGCTTCAACCCTATTCAAACAGACCTCCCTATAGAGTTCAAGTGATCTTGAAGACACTGATTAGTTTGTTCAGGTGTGTTTGACTAGTGCTGGAACAAAACTCTGCAGGGACACCGGCCCTCGAGGATCAAGTTTGCCCATCCCTGGCTTAGTCTCTTATTTATTAGAGGTCGCCACAGTGCAATGAACCACCAACGATTCCAGCATGTTTTATACAACGGATGCCCTTCCGGCTGCAACCCAGTACTGAGAAACATATATTCAATTCAATACAAGCATATATTCAGCATAATTTTTACATTAAATTTAAAATTTTCCTCTCAAAAAAAAAAAAAAAAAACTTGATGTAAAAGACATTTGTTAGGGGTGTAACGATTTATCGTAGTACAATTTATTGCAATGCAAAAATGTCACAATATGCATCGTGGCGTTATGACGATTTTATTACGATATGACGTCCGTTTTCTCTTATTAGTTGAGCTCATCATGCCCAACATGAAGACAGCCATCCATAAAAACCTCTCAGACAGATACACATAAGTTCAGGATTATTTTATAGAACTGCTGATTACCTGGAAATGTAGATTCTTTTATATATATATATATATATATATAATTTTTTCTTTTTGCACACAAAAAACGCAAGTGACCAAGCAAAGCTTTAAGCTCTTACTGTTAAATTCAATTGAATTGAATCATTTCAATAATGTTTTATAAGTTTTTAAATTGTTTTATTTTCCAGAGACAGTCCTGTTTAATTTATTTTCTTAAAGAAGGTTCAGTTTAACAAGTTGAAACAAAAGAAATACATACATGGTAATTACATTTTTTTAAATAAAATTTGCATTTCAGTTTAATTGAAAATTTTTATTCCAAATATCGTGATACTTATCGAATCATGAACATTATATCGTGATACACATTGTATCGTGAGCTGAGTGTATCGTTACACCCCTAACATTTGTTGTAAAAAAACACAGAAATCCTGCTTTGTGTCAGATTAGCTCGGCGTAACTTGCAAATGTAAGCATAATAATCCTGATAATCCTGGTGTGTAGGTAGACATATGTTGATATATTGAATTATTGAATATCAGCACATGCACAATTTATTGTGAATAATTATTTATTATTGGAACTTTTAGAGAGTCATTTAAGAATATTCAGATTGTATTTGTAGTGGTGTTCATAACAGTGTCAAATGCTTGGAGACTTAATTTGAATTTATTTAAATTAATTAATTTTTAGCTTGTTAAAGTGGAGCTATTATGCAAAAATCTATTTTTAACACATAGTTGTGTTGCAACAGTCTCTGAACATAACCAGCCTCTAATGGTAAAACTTTAATAGTTCTATTTGTTTTCAGAAACACTTTGGCATTTCCCTTTGTACGTGTCATCAGAGGGGGAAAGCCCCGCCCACTAGTGACCATCTCTCCCTCATTAGCATAGGATGTTAGTCTTGTTTTTGAATCTGCCACTATTCTGACACAAAGGCATTTGTAGCTCCGCCCTCTTTTTGAAATGAGCACAATCTCATTTGAATTTAAAGTGACTAAAATAATTAATAAACAAACAAACAAATAATTATCTGTGGTAGAGCTGAAGATCTTTGCCGGGACCCTATGGGCTCGGGTAGGTTCGGGTCGGGCTGGGCTTGGCTTGCGCAGTAAGTAAATGAATAGTCAAGTGATGCATTTCGATTAGCGCGAGAAAGTAATCAAATGGTTTGTTACAACATTAAAATCCATTCCTGCATAGGTGAAATAAAAGATGATGGAGAAGTTAAAAGGAACGAATTTCGACTGCGGTCACGCCAGCTGCCAGTTCAGAAGGAACGGTCATTCTAGCTGCTAAGGTATTTCGGCGGTTACTCAAACACTGCGTATTACGGTAGAGCGCTAAACAGCAAGCTGACAGGTAAAAAGACGAGGTGACTCGCTACACTGAAACTGCTGTGATGGAAAATAAATAGATGTTCATGGCTGGTAGAAGATGAACAAACAATCCTAGTGTTACCCAAAAGTTGCAAAATATGCCAGATCAGAACTCTGCATCTCAGCCTGAAGCAGCAGCAGTGAAAGGGTGTTCTGTGTTGCTGGATGCACCATCCTGAGCGCAGGACTGCACTAAAAACATTTACAGTGGTTTCAATAATGCTCCTCCACAAAAACACGTAGCCTCATCTTGGTGAGAAAAGGGTTTTTAAATTCTAAATAAATATTAATTAAAACTTAAAATCATAATGTAGACAGAGTATACAGGCTAATGTTGGCTTTATTTTTTTATTATTCACCATCGTCTTAAGGCCAGATTATGAAGAGAAGTGGTGAAACAAATCTCACAGAGCCTTTATCCTTATTTAGTTATTGCCAAAATACCCGTCAATTCATTCATTCATTTTCTTGTCGGCATAGTCCCTTTTTTAATCCGGGGTCGCCACAGCGGAATGAACTGCCAACTCATCCAGCAAATTTTTTACGCAGCGGATGCCCTTCCAGCCGCAACCCATCTCTGGGAAACATCCACACACACATCCACACACACACTCATACACTACGAACAATTTAGCCTACCCAGTTCAACTGTTTGGACTGTGGGGGAAACCGGAGCACCCGGAGGAAACCCACGCGAAGGCAGGGAGAACATGCAAACTCCACACAGAAACGCCAACTGAGCCGAGGTTCGAACCAGCGACCTTCTTGCTGTGAGGCGACAGCACTACCTACTGCGCCACTGCCTCACCCTACCCGTCATAATTTAGAATTTAATTTGATTTGTTAAGCAAGATTTCTTTTCATTGGTGTGTTGGCCAATTTAAAGGCTAAGTGCATGTACCTAGGCCTATTTAGAGTGCTGAGATGTTACGATGTTACAGAGAACTTATTTTATTTCTTTGTTCCAACTTCCAAGTGGCCTATAGCCTACGTTTGTTACGAATAAATTATGTTAAAACATATAAATGATTGGTTCTTGAAAAAAAAAAAGGCAAGAGAGCTGTGTGCATGAGCACATTTGTATAATGTTGGGCTGTAAACGGGTTCGGGCTTTATAAAGCTGTCAATCAAAATGTACCTGTCGGGCTCTGACCGAATTCTGTCGGGCTCTAATTTTTATGGCCCGATTACAACTCTAATCTGTGGGGTATTTTGAGCTGAAGTTTCTCACACACACACACACACACACACACACACACACACACACACACACACACACACACACACACACACACACACACACACTCTAGGGACATCAGAGACTTATTTTACATATTGTAAAAAGGGAGTAACAGGTGTTCTAACAGATTGTATTTGCAGTGGTGTTCATCTCTGTTCACCAAACGCCTGGAGACTATTTAATTATTACTATTTTTATCTTAATATAAACAGATGAGTGAGTCATGGTGCCTCAGTAGTTAGCACTGTCGCCTCACAGCAAGAAGGTCACTGGTTTGAGCCTCAGCTGAGTCAGTTGGCATTTCTGTGTGGAGTTCGTATGTTCTCCCTGTGTTTGCGTGGGTTTCCTCCGGGTGCTCCAGTTTAAAAATATGCACTATAGGTGGATTAGGTTAGCTAAATTGTCAGAAGTGTATGTGTGTGAATGGGAGTGTATGGGTGTTTCCCAGTGATGGGTTGCAGCTGGAAGGGCATGCACTGTGTAAAACATATACTGGATAAGTTGGTGGTTCATTCTGCTGTGGTGGCCCCTGATGAATAAAGGGACTAAGCCGAAAAGAAAATGAATGAATTAACAGCTGAACCATGTTGATGTGTTAGTGTGCTGTCCTGTGTGCTGCAGGTGTTCAGCGCACCTTGAGGCCGAAGGTGAAGATGGTCATGATGATCTTGAAGACGAGCGCGAGGCTGAGCTGCCACATGGCTGAATAGACCCCCGGTGTGGCGGCAGAGGCGGTGTCGGGGCCTGTGGGGTCGGCCTGGCTGCCGTTCATCAGACTGCGGTACTGGCAGAGCTGAGACGACTCCAGCGGCCCGCAGTCTGTGAACAGCTCCTTGATCAGCTCGCTGGTGTTCTGACGGGTGTACGGGTTCGGGAACGCCACAATCGCTGTGATCGCCGCCACCGTGATCACCTCCAGCACTGGGTACTTGCCTACACACACACACACACACACACACACACACACACACACACATTCACACACAGAGATATACGCATGCACAGACAGGCATACAGAAAGTCAGACACACACACAAAGACAGATACATACATGTGGGCGCACACAAACACACACACACACACACACACACACACACACAGACAGACAGACAGACAGATAGACATACGTACATGCCCACACACACAGACAAGCACACACAAACATATAAACACACAGAGACAGAGACACACACACACACACACACACACACACACACACACACACACACACACACACATTTTTAACAACAGCAACACAATTTGCAAAAAGAATACGTACATAAATGTTCATGCACCAAAATAAAAATGACAGATATTGAAATATTTAAATGCAGCCTGTAAATAAACAATGATTTTATATTTAATGTATTTAGGTTAATTATGTTAAATGTATTTTTACTATAAAAATATTGACAAAAAAAAATAATTATTCAATAAATCTACAGAAAAACTCAATTACTAAAACTTTAAAATTTTATTAAAAAACAAATAAAACTAAAATAATGGTCAAGAATTCTGCAAAATTATTAAAACTTTGATTAAAATATTAAAACTGACAAAACTTAAATAAAATAAAAAAGACTAAATAAAACAAACAAAAAATTATTTAATTAGAAACTAAAAACAAAACACCAAAAACTAACAACAAAATGGCTAAAGATTAGTTACAACATACTTTATAACTAAACAAAAAAAATATATAAAAAAAAGTGCCTAATATTATATATTAATTGATATTTGAGACTAGGGCTGGGCGATGAGGCAAAAATGCAATCTCAATAGTTATTTTCCATATTGAACAATATTGATATATATCAGACCCCCTAGTTTTTCACGATTATTTATGTGATTTTTTTGCAATAAAAATGACTGATTTTGTGGCGGTAATTCCCAGAAGTTTGAGGGCAATTTAATGCATTTACCATATTAGGTAGCCTACTATGTTAGGTGACTAATCTGTAACAATGACACAAATCATTAAATTAAAGTTTATTTATTTTGGTCCCTCGTCAAGACAAGATCTGAAACGGTAGGGATTAAGCCAAAGCAAAGTTGTAGTAAGCCTCCTTTCCACTGCACTGCAATAAGCCCCCTTGTGGCAATTGCATCGAATTTTCAGTTCTGACGTGCACCATGGGAGAGAAGCTGTTCTCGCAGTGTCTGAAATAAAGGAGTGCAAAAGCAATTCTCCGTGGTTGAATGAATGAAAGAATACTAGAAACTGATAGACCGCTACAAATATTGGAGTGAATGTGGAGACAACAAACAACATTATATTTTTGTTACTTTATTACTTACATTTATGAACAGATTTTTTTTAATAACAGCTTTTTTCTAATTAAAAAAATAACCAAATAAAGTCCTATTACTCATCTCGCGCACACAGACCTGCTTGAACAACCCTAGAATACATCACATCGGGTCGGGCGGTCGCATACGGTCTAGTCGCAGGAGTTCAAATATTTCAACTGATCCGCAGCTCAATTCAGATCCGAATTTTCCCCATACGGAGATGATCAGAACTCCACATCGCTCCCGGACTACTCTCCATTGGAAATGAATGACTTCCGGTCTGTCACTTGTCGTTTGTCGTGTGCAGTGGAAAGAAGGCTTTACTCTTATTTTTTTCCACGATCTAACTTTCTCTCAGATTTCACTACCGGGAGCATCTGACATCATGTCACACGCAGGACATGCGATAGGGCTTCCCCTACTGTAATACACCTAAAACACATATCTCACAGACAAAACACCAATCAAACACAGAAACTCTTCAATGGCATCATTACACTCCATGTAATGTAATGTAATGATTGTGATGGCGCAGGTGAGACGTCAGTGTTTGAGACACTTAAATACATAATAAGTCACGTTAAACAATTAATTGCAAACTAAAATAAAAATAATTTGATTATATGGTTTTGGAATTTGATGTTTTATGAGATTTTTTTGCAATTATTTTGTGTTTATTTAAGGATTTTGCAGAATCGCAAAAATTTGCGACTTTTTGCTGATTTGCCGTTGGATTCAGCGATTGTGGAATCGCAGAAAACTAGGCAGTCTGAGATATTTTGATATATGTTGTTAATGCAGATTTAAGAGTATCCCAACATGACTGACACGAAATTAGAGAGTCAGTTAAATAACAACATATTTTCAGCCGATAAATAGTTGGTGGACGATAATTCGGTGCATCTCTAATATCAACACACTTTAGATTCGAATTGTTGCACATTTCTGCTGTTTGATTGTATCTTAGATCAATATAGAGTTGAAAAGTCGAGAGCTCATCATTGTTATTGACATAAATATTATCGAGATTCGATATAATATTGTTTATCGGCTCAGCCCCATTTCAGACAAATTTTATATATGAAAAATAAATAAATGAATACATGCTAACAACATACTAACAACTACATAAAAAAATGCATGTGTATTTAAATGTGCTGTACTCACCGAAGCGAGTGGACTTGCGTCGGCGGCACCAGGCGATGTTTGCCCGGATGAAGAACGCGCCCCATAATCCCCCGAAGACCCCCAGCAGGATGAAGGGGAAGAGCTCGAACAGGTACCAGGGCGTGTGATACTCCACATAGAACAGCACTAGGCGACTGTTACCGAACGGGTTGATGGAGCGCAGCACAAAAGCAGCCACCAGAGCAGCGAAGAACGAGCGCCACAGAGTCTTCAGAGGGAAGTAATAACTCACCTGAAACACACACACACACACACACACATTCAGGCCATCTTTCTGTGCGTCCACACTGCCAGAAGCCATTTCCAGTGGATAAAATGTTCATATGTTGTTGCCACACCATTAGGGAAACACCCCCCAGTGGGCAAAACATTACTGTCCCGCTGACCGCCACATCACAGGCTGTGAGATTTCTTTCTTTTTAGCCAAAAAGCCAGATAATTGTTGTACAATAGGGTTTAGCGTTACTAACCGACGAGGACAGAAATTCCTTTACAGAAAGATCAGTCAGAAAGGAGAAATTGATCGATTTGTGTTAAAGAGACGCATCATTGACCCATAACAATGCATGGTAGGGCAGCACAACACTTCTCACTCCTCTGCCCTCTAAGGGCGTACTCACACTAGGTACAGTTGCCTCGAACCGGGCCAAAGCACGCTTGTCCCCCCTCCCGTCTCCCCCGATGGCCCGCACTCACACCACAAATGGGCCTCGGCACGCTTACGTCATCGCTGCTGCCCTGTTCAGTGAGAAGCGCTCTCTCACTCAGCAGCACAGTGGAGATTTCTCTAGTTATATCGTTTCAGTCGTTTATTATGCAGTGACATGCAGTCAAATATTTCGCCAAACAGTCCTTAGGGATGCGGTGACACGCAGTCAGATATTTCACCGAACAGATCCACCACTTTTGGCACTCAAAAACAATCATTAAGCTCTCGTGCTGCAGAAATGAGGAGGTCTGCTGAAGTTGCAGCTGTCGTGCTGTGAGGAGTTTGCGTCTTTAATAAACTACGGCAGTTTGCGATCACTGAACAGTAAGAATGATTAATAAATCCATATGAAACAGTCCCTTAAAAGTCACGTCTCGCTTTCAGTTTCGGGCTTTGGCGCGTTTTGCACTCACACATAAGCGTACCGCGCCAAAGCCCAAGTGAACCGCGCTCAGGCACACCTCTTCCAACCGGGCCAGGGCCGGCCAAGTGAACCGTGCTTGAGCCCGATTCAACGCACTCACACTTCTCAAACAATCCGGGGAAACGGGCCTGGGCACGGTACGGATGGCATAGTGTGAGTATGCCCTAAAGGTGCTCTAGCGACAGACGTTAGAGGCCATGTTCTTTGGCTTCTTTGTTAGAGCAGCCAACTCCCACACAAAGAATCGCCGGTTCAATCCCAGCTTAGACTGGGTTGGGTGCAGTAGGACCGATAGGTAACACGTGGGGGCTCGTCCGAGATGGGAGTGAGGTTAAGGGGGGTGAGTGTAACGGAGACCAGCTAGTAAAGTGCTATGCAGATAAACCTCACTCATCTGACCTCTAAAGGTGCTCTAGCGACCGACACTAGAGGCCATGGTCTTTACCCTCTTTGTTAGAGCAGCCAACTCCCATAAAAAGAATCACCTGTTCGGTCCCAGCTCAGAGTGGATGTGTGCAGTAGGTCCAGTGGGTTACACATGGGGGCTCGACTGGGATGGGAGTGAGTGTAACAGAGGCCAGTTAGCAAAGTGCTATGCAGATAAACCTCACTCATCCGACCTCTAAAGGTGCTCTAGCAACAGACACTAGAGGCCATGGTCTTTACCCTCTTTGTAAGAGCAGCCAACTCCCATACAAAGAATCACTGGTTCAATCCCAGCTCAGGCCAAGTTGGGTGCAGTAGCACCGGTAGGTTACAAGTGGGGGCTCGTCCGGGATGGGAGTGAGGTTTAGGGGGGTGAGTGTAATGAAGGCTAGCTAGCGAAGTGCTGTGCAGGTAAACCTGACTCCTCTGGCCTCTAAAGGTGCTCTAGCAACAGACGCTAAAGGCCATGGTCTTTACCCTCTTTGTTAGAGCAGCCAACTGAGATACAAAGAATTGCTGGCTCAATCTCAGCTCAGGCCGAGTTGGGTGCAGTAGGACCGGTTGGTTACACGTGGGTTGCTCATCCGGGATGGGAGTGAGTGTAACAGGCAAGCTAGCGAAGTGCTATGCAGGTAAACCTCACTCTTCTGGCCTCTAAAGGTACTCTAGCGACAGATGCTAGAGGAATGTTAGAGAAACCAACTCCCATACAAAGAATCACCGGTTTGATCCCAGGTAAGACTGGTTTTGGTGCAGTAGGACCAGTGGGTTACACAATATTTTATTTTTCTGCTATAAATACTGCGATATGAACAAGGTTTCACAAGAGGGTTTGAATAACTCTATTTGATGTTTTTTGGGGAATCTTAAGAGTATTCAGGTACAGAAATTGAGTAATCACAATGCAAAAATGCTTTTCTTTTTTTGTCTTATATTTAGTACCAATATCAAGAGAATCTTAGAGCAGTACAGATATTTATTAGTTTTCACCATCAGAAAAAATGAGTGAAAATTAAGAGGTTCTCCTTAAAACGAGGATCTCCTTAAAACAAGCTAAATGATCTGTCAGTGGGGTGAGGGAAATCATCTTGATTTTGCTTTAAAATGTAGATATTTGGACTAGAAACAAGACAAGAATCTTAAGTAAGAAGATCATGTTTTAGCAAATATCATATAAATTCCAAATAAATACAGTAATTAAATACAATTTTGCAGCTCCTGGTCAACTATAATTCAGACTCAAGGTTTCATATTTCTGCAATGTGCTAATTGCAGATGCGCACATTGAGATATCGATGCTGAAACGATATATTGAGCAGCCCTAATGTACAGTATAACTGTCAGTGCGCTCATATGCATTTATAAAGTTTCTGTTATTCTAATTTGCAAACAAAGTGCAATTAAAATAGAAATTAAAATAACAAGTGATTATAAATGTTTCTTAGTCATTAAAATCTAACAAAAATACTGAATTTCAGAAAGTGTGTATTGAAGATAAATGCTAAATGCAGTCTCACCTCCTCCAGACTGAACAAAACTCCTCCAATCGGAGCCCCAAAAGCCACAGAAACACCAGCAGCCGACGCCGCCGACAGAACCTGACAAAGACACACAAACTCTCACCTCTGACACAAAAATACACATTTACTCGCTGAAACTGTACATATTATATATTATATTATATATATTAAATCTTTTTTTGGTGTTCAACAGAAAAAAAGAAACAGGAAAAGGGCGAGTAAATTAGGACAGAAATGTAATTTCTGAGTGAACTGTCCTTTTAATGGCAAGATAAAATGTTTTATGAACACAAGCCCAGATGTGTGCAGTCCAACCTCTCGCTTCTTAGCCTCGTTCTTGCTGTATTTGGGGAAGAGATATGAGAAGATGTTCCCGCAGCAGCAGGCCACGTGAACCAGCGGACCCTCCTTTCCCAGACTGAGGCCAGACGCCACAGCAAGAACCAGAGTGATGGTCTTGATCATCAGAGTCCACTTGCCCAGGTACCCGCGGATGATGAAGCCACTCAGGATGGTTTTAATCTGATGAGAGAGACAGAGAGAAAGAGAGCTTGTCTTAATTTAGCAAATGACCACAGAATAAGGGTAACCAACGACAGTTTTAACACTGGAACTAGCAGAATTCTTTAACTACTAGAATTACCATAGCGGTGATTCTGACCGCTTATAGGACATCATATTGTCACATCATATTTACATTCAAAGCTTTTATTGAGATATTACAATTAAGCTTTGAAAATATGTCATCTTATTTAAGTAAGTCATCACCCTTAAAATATGAACTTTTTGGTAATACAGACTATAAATGTGTAGTTAAACTAAAATTAGACCACTCGCGAATGTTTTATTTTTTACTTTCACAAGGGGGGAAGAAGGCTTTTTCGTGGCACTGAATATGCTGTTTTTAAAGACATATAAAAGGTCCGTTTTTGACAGCAAAAAGTTAAGTTTTTCTTAGCAGGAAGTTGCTAGGCAACAGAGGCATGCATTTTCAAAGTACAAAATAAATCAAAAGCAACCACATTGATTTTGTTGGCTCACATTGCTGTTTTATGGTGAACAATTTATCTGTGCTTGCCATAAAAAAACGTTTGCCCTTGTAATCTAAAACTAAAATCTAAAAAATGCACTTCCTGTTTGTTTAGGCTGAGCTGACATAACCACGCTCCACCAGCTGTCAGTTTTGACAACAAACAGAAATGGTGAAACAAACAACAAACAGAAAGGTTGCAGCTTCTGGCTTTAAAGTCACAGGGAAAAACAGCAGATACTGAAATGCATCAGGTCATTTTGAACTCTATGTGTAACTCTATGTGTTGTATGCAATGCAATTCGTAAATTCAAAACACTATTCATAAATACGCAATCCAATTCGTAAATTTAAAACGCAAATCATAAATACACAAATCCAATTCGTAAAATTCAAAACACTATTCATAAATACGCAAATGCAATTCGTAAAATTCAAAACACAATTCATAAATACGCAATCCAATTCGTACATTTTAAACGCAAATTTTAAATACATAAATCCAATTCGTAAATTCAAAACACTATTCATAAATATGCAATCCAATTCGTAATTTCTAATCGCAAATCATAAATACAAAAAAACAATTCGTAAATTCAAAAATTGATTCATAAATGCACACATCCCATTCATTTGAGGAAATATATATCCTTTTTAATTGGGAATTTACAAACTATCTTTTGAATTTCCGAATTAGATTTTGTAAATGTGAATTGTGCTGTGCATGTATGAGTTTTACTTTTGCAAACGTATTATTTTTGACACCGACCTGGCTCCATATTAACGTCACTGCCGAAAACCCAAACACTGAAGAGCCACAAGTCTCATGAATTTGACATTGATGATTTTCTGAATTTCACACACATCTCATCTCATGACTGTGAAAGCTGCTTCTCTTTGTTCGACAGAACTAATCTGCTCTGCTTTTTTGTAAAACTTGTATAACACTTCTAGTTACCATAGAAACAGCGACTAAATCAGAGCTAAAGCTGTTTCACGTTTGGCTGCCAGTAGAAAGTCACATGAGCTCTGGAGAACATGCAGTAATGCAGAAACCCTCATAGATAGGTTACTTAGATTTGTTTTGCAGTCTAGAGTCCTCGTTCATCAAGCAGTGCCACATAATTTATATTAAGTAATAACAACAAACGGACACCATAGAGACATCAAATATTAGACGCACAAAAACACAAGTCTCAAAGTGTCCAGTATAAAACAGTTGAAGTCAGAATTATTTGCCCTCTTGAATTAATAGCCCCCGGTATATTTAATTCCACAATTTCTGTTCAATGAAGAAATTTTTTATTAAGATTTTGTTTGTAATAATAAAGCTTTTTTTAATGATTATAATAGTATTTATTATAATATATACAGTAATACAGTCAGAATTTTTAGCCTAAATTATAAGAAAAAAAAGACACATTTGGAAGCATAACAGTTTTAATAACTCATTTCTAGGCCCACTGGAAACTGTGCGCACAGATTTCCGCAGATTTTTAGCCCATCATTAATTCTGTTTATTCACTTGAGTAAATGTGTGTAATTGCATCTTTGATCAGTTCTTAAATTAATTTCAGTAATATTATTGACTCTGTTCAGATGAAAATGTCCATCTGATGTATGTACAATGCAGTTTGCACAGTAATATTTTCTGTCTTTTAGTAGAGATATTATATGAGAGACTTGCTTTGTTTACCAAATAAAGTGAATCTAATTAAATTTGTATTTTAAACATTAAATAAAAGTTCAAAAGATAGTATTTTATATTTCACATATTACGGGTTTAGTTATGATACTCCCGAAATAATTCTGCAGAAATCCACAGATTTTTACCAAAATTCTCAGCAGAAATAGCAAAAAAGTCTGCAGATTTCGTCTGGGTCCACTCATTTCTAATAACCGATTTCTTTTATCTTTGCCATGATGACAGTGTGTAATATTCGACTAGATATTTTACAAGATTTGTTTGGGTGAGGTGAATCACCGGGGAGTAAGTGAGAAAGTGGATGTGTGGCATGAGGATACTGCTAAATGCATGAGAGTTGGCAGCCCTTGTAAATAGCATTAATCAATTTTACTTTTGTGAACTGTTTTTGTTTTTAATGGATTGTTGGTTGTAGCAATTGGGTAGCAATACATGGACAAAGGGAAATTAAGGCCTGTTAAGCGCAGGTTGCCAGAAGTCCGACTATCAAGTCTAAAGACTGATTTAAATCGTGTTCAGAATAAAAGCAACGGCACACCATAGAAGGAATATTTTCCGTATTAAAAGGAGTTTTTGTCCCAACCAAAACCTGAAATTGATATTTTAGAAACAGCTTCTATTTCTCACAGGTGAACAACAGTAAACTGACTATGGTCACCTCAGGTACACCTCATGTGCTTCATTCTATGCTAGTTTGAACACCATTTTACATCACATTTATTGCAATACTACTGAAAGCAGCAGCAGATAGTTCACCTCAGATCTTGACATAAAATAAACTGTTTAGATCTGTGAAATAATGAAAACTAACACATTAGTGATTCAGCATCTGCAGTTAATAATGTTAAAAAGGTTTAATATGTATTAATTGGACTAAAAACCTTACCATTTCACTGGAATGCAGTGAGTGCTCTATTCTGTGCTTCTGAATGCCTGTATTTCAATTTCTGTCGTGTTTTGTCTGGTGCAAACAGGCAAATTGCTTAGCACAGCAATTCTCAATATTTAGTGTGTTGTTAAGATACGGAGTTGCAATGTAACCTGCTCACCTAATGTTTACGTAATATTTATATTATTTGCTAATTAATAACATCATGTGGAACTCTGAATCTGCATCTCATTTTGAAGGCTGTTAATGTCCACCAGAAGTTGCATTTCGGTCACGGGTGCATGCTCTGAGAGCCTTCCTGAATCAATCAATCAATCAAATACGCTGTTTTCCACCAAGGCAACCTGGGGTGCTGAAATATAATTGGCTAAACTGACATTGGGCGGGTTAAAGGACCAAAACAAAGAGAGTTGTTCCAGCACGTAACACATTCTCAAAAGCAGAATATCTGACTTCAGCATTGTTTTTCAGATAAACAAGCATGTTCACTGAGCATGCTTCTGAAATATCTGCTAATATATTATAGTATTTTTATGCCTTAGAAGAGTCAAAAACTTACAGCACCTTTAAAAGTATTTAATGGCCAGTTTCCACTGAGTGGTCAGTACGGTATGGTTCGTTACGCCTTTATGTCCGTTTCCACTGTTCAAACATACCTAAAAGCGAACCGTACCGTACCACGCTTTGGTTACCCTTTGCGAAGGGTGAACAGCAGGACTAAAGCGTACCAAAAGGCAGTCCTAGACATGCAGCTGATTTACAAAGATACTTCACTCGCAGAAGAAAGAGACTGAAACAAAGGAACCGCCATCTTTAAAAACAGCCTCCTTTGTGTTCAATTAATCAGTAAAAGGAAACCTAAACAGGTTTAGAGCAAGCTGAGGATGAGTAAATGATGACAGTTTTTATTTTGGGGTGAACTATCCCTTTAATAACGACTGGCCAATCTGGTTTCCTACTGAAGAATCTCACTGAATGTCAAATGTGAGGTGAAAGCAGTTGCGTATTGTGTTTGATGGATGTGCAGGAGTACCTCAGGTATTCCAGAGCCGCAGGCATACGGCGCAAACACCTTCACCAGAGACACGGCCAGAAAAGCGAAAGACAAAGCCCAGAAGGTGAACATGAAGTAGTTCATGATGTACGAGCCGGGACCCTGAAACAGACACAGGACAGACATCAAAACACACAAAAACAACATCAACTGATTGATCTTCACTAGATTGGGGTCATGTGGATGTTCAACATCCTATAAACTTGATAACAATACTTTTTGGACATATCATTCAGTCCAAATGTACACATTAAGCTGAAAAGCTGAATCTGTAATTCTCTCATCTCCTCAGTTTGTATATTCTTCTTCTTCTTTATTAAGCAGATGTACAATGGAAGACAGTTATGTAAACAACCATAACATCAGCATTATCCCAGCCCAAATCACCCCCACAAACAAAAGTCAAGAAGAAATTAGGTTCATCATTGAAAGCATAAATAAAAAAGTAATAATAAAGTTAAGGGGCTGTTGCTCCATCTACAAACTCAAAACACAAACACACTGCACCTTTAGCCTTATAGATTCAGGTGTAAAGTTGAAGTAATGTGTTCGATTTTTCATAGTTTTTAGTGTACTGAGGCCAGTTCCTCCAACAGTGGTTCATTGAGATGTGTAGACTGACCTGTTCCTGACCCAGGATCAGCTCGGCCCATGTCTTCCACTGAGGACACTTGTCTCTCTCGGCGAAGGTGGTCTTGTTGGAGCCCCAGCAGCACTGCTCGTGATTGAACCACATGGCACTAAGACACACGCCCTCCTTCAGGTCGTTCATCCAGTCGGCGGCGATGTCGATCCCGCCAGCTAACGCTCCTGAAGGACAACACACACACATCAGGAGCTATTACAGAGGAGTAGGTGAAGTTCATGATGCACTAATAAAGCAGCATGAACCATCCTGTGACTCTGAGGAACATCAGCTGTACTTGCATGCACCCAGCCAGCCTTAACGCCCCATTCACACGGGGCGTCAGTGTCAACGCTTCCCATTCACTTTGAATTGGTGACGCCAGGGATTGCCGAACTGCACTGTGGATCCGTCGGCGCCGCTTCAGAGGTGTTGCTCACTGCAGAAGTTGGGACTAGCTCAACTTTTCAAGCGCCAACAGAAGCGTCAGCCAATCAGATCGCTGTATGCAAATACACCAGCTAGACAGTGGCCTATTGCTAACTGAATTTTATTGGCTGACGCTGCTATGACGATCGCTTCAGCCCCAACTTCAGACACGCCTTCAGTCCAGCATTGACGCTGAAGCCCCGTGTGAATGGGGCATAAGGAATCATGATACGACTGGAAAGCTTTGATGTGAACAATTCCATCCTGTGAAGATATTCAGATTACGTGTAATGTACAGGTAAACAAATATTCTAAGATGCTAGGATCTTAAATTTGTTTTCTTGGTCTCCAATAACATCCTCACAAAAGTAAAATAAAAAAAATAAAACTTAATTTTCCATTGTAAAAAAAATCTGCTCTTTTCCAAACTTGTCCAAACGTGGTCCTGGAGGGCCGGTGTCCTGCATATTTTAGTTCCAACCCCAATTAAACACACCTGAACCAGCTAATCAAGCTCTCTCTATGTATACTGGAAAATTCCAGGGAGGTGTGTTGAAGTAAGTTGGAGCTAAACTATGCAGGACACCGGCCCTCCAGTTTGGACAACCCTGATCTAAACTAATTTGGTCTCTTTTAACAGCCTTTCAAACAGCCCACTCTGCTCTGATTGGTTAGATGGACCTAATGCACACTAATTGGTCAAATGGATCTGCTGTGCACTGATCAGTCAAACTGACCTACTGCGCTCTGATTGGTCAGATGGACCTACTGCGCTTTGATTGGTCAGACAGACCTACTGCGCTCTGATTGGTCAGATGGACCTACTGCGCTTTGATTGGTCAGATGGACCTACTGCGCTTTGAATGGTCAGACAGACCTACTGCGCTTTGATTGGTCAGAAAGACATACTGTGTGCTGATTGGTTTATGTAACTGCTGGCCTCTGATTGGTCAGATAGAGCTACTGTCCACTGATTAGTGAGATAGACAAATTGTGTGCTTATGATTTATGCAACTACTACCCTCTGATTGGTCAGATAGACCTACTGCGCACTGCTTGATAAAAAAGACAAACTGTGCTGATTGGTTTATGGAACTGCTGGCCTCTGATTGGTCAGATAGAACTACTGCACACTGACTGGTCAGATAGACAAACTGTGCTGATTGATTTCTGCAACTACTACCCTCTGATTGGTCAGATAGATCTACTGCGCACTGTTTGGTCAAATAGATGTACTATGCACTAATTGATTAGACGAACCTACTGCGCTCTGATTTCTGAGATGGACCTAATGTGCACTGAGTGGTCAGATGGACCTACTGCATGTTGATTGGTCAGATGGTCATACTGTGTGCTGATTGGTTTATAGAACTACCGCCCTCTGATTGGTCAGGTGGATCATACTGCGCTCTCTGAATGGTCAGATGGTCCTAGTGCACTCTAAATGGTCAGATGGTTGTAATGTGCACTGAGTTGTCAGATCAACCTACTGTGCTCTGATTGGACAGATAGACTTGGTCTACTTTGATTGGACAGATGGACATACTGTGCTCTGATTGGACAGATAGACTTAGTCTACTTTGATTGGACAGATGGACATACTGTGCTCTGATTGGACAGATAGACTTAGTCTACTTTGATTAGACAGATGGACATACTGTGCTCTGATTGGACAGATGGACATACTGTGCTCTGATTGGACAGATAGACTTAGTTTACTTTGATTGGACAGATGGACATACTGTGCAGTAATTAGTCAGATAGACATACTGTGCTCTGATTGGACAGATGGACATACTGTGCTCTAATTGGTCAGATGGACATACAGTGCACTGATTGATCAGGTGGCCCAGTTTGTTGTATTTGGTCAGCCAGTTATAGTCCATTATCATATTAGCATTTCCGCTCCTCTGTGCGCTTAACACATTCCTACAAACAGTAAAGATGACATGGGGTTTACTGCTTTATTTCGAGCTCGTGTCCTCAACTTTAAAAGAATTTGCTTGCACACCAAAAAAACAACAACAACACACACTATTTCTTCTAACCTACAGCTGCAGTGTCTGAGGGTCAAAGTGTGTGTTGTTTGAGGTCAGCCAATGTAGACCATAGACTGGCATTGTGCAAGTGTGTTAGCACAACATTTTTAACAACATTTAAGATCTTGGAGAAGGTTAAAGGAATCAACTTTGACCCAACGCCTGACAAATGGCTAAAAATGCCAGAGCTAGTGCTCAGGGAGAATTAAGAAACAAGCTGAGTTCAGCAGAATGCTTTCAGAAGATTAAACCTGGACTCTTGGATTAATGGTGTGTGTGTGTTTGGGTTTTAAGTGTGTTTGCTTTGTTTGAGTATGTATGTGTGTGTGTGTACTTGTTTGAGTGTGTGTGAGAGTATGTGTGAACTGTGTATTGGTATGAGTTTGAGAATTTGTTTTTGAGTATGTGTGTTTGAGTTTGAGTGTGTGCATGTATTTGAGTATATGCGAGTGTGTGTGTGGGGCCATATCAGAAGCAGTTTTTACTGTATAAAATACATTAAGCCTATGGCAGGGGTGTTTTAACTCCAACTTGCCTCAACACACTTGCAAGGATGTTTCTAGAAAGCCTAGTAAGAGCTTGATTAGCTAGCCCATTGGGGTTGGAACTAAACTTTGGAGGACACCGGCCCTCCAAGACCGAGTTTGGACATGCCTGGCCTATGGAGTGTCCCTGTAAACCATGTATGCAAGTAAGTATGTGTTTTGTGTGTCAATGCATGTGTGCGTGTGAGCGCATGAGTGTACCTGGTATTCGTCATTACAAGGACCAGATGTCCCCACAAGTAGAGCAATAGCAGTAGTTTGACATCATGGGGACCATATTTTTGTCTCTATTTGGAAAAGCGCTCACAAATCACAGAATGAAGTATTCGGAAAATGTAAAAATGCAGATTGTTGTTTTCTGAGGGTTGGGTTTAAGGGTCGGGTTGGTAGAAGAGGACAGAATATACCGTCTGTACAGTGTGCAGATCATTATGTTTCAGAGAAGACCCCATAAAGCATGAAAGCTCAACATGCATGTTTGTGTATACATGTTTGCATTTGTATGATTGAATGTGTGTGTGAAATATATATATATATATGAATTCACATTTGTGAATGAATGAGAGAGTGTGTGTGTGTTTACCTGATGCGAGTCCTGTCAGTGTGACCACCAGCCAGCCGGACCAGGCGTCGTAGAGACTCTTGGTGAATTCCCATGCTGACTCCTTCTTTTTGCTGTTTATCTACACGGGGAAATAAAACAGAGGTAAATACACACGATGTCAAGAGCAGCTGACCCAGGAGCTGGAGTTCTTATGAAACAAAATCCCTTTCTGTGGTCAATATCAGCTCCAGATCCAGCAGGAACATCATTTGACTGAAACAACGTCTATTCAAATGTGCTCATGCTTCAGTGTTGCTGCTGAAGACGAAGAGAAACCTGAACGCTGCACCAGGAAACCAAACAAACACTGCCATTATACTACAGAACAGCTGAAGGATAAGACCAATTAAAGTCAGAATTATTAACCCCCTTTGATTTTTTTTTTCCTTTTTTAAAATATTTCCCAAATGATGTTGAACAGAGCAAGGAAATTTTCACAGTATGTCTGATAATATTTTTTCTTCTGGAGAAAGTTTTATTTTTTATTTCGGCTAGAATAAAAGCAGTTTTTAATTTTTTAAAATCTATTTTAATGTCAAAATTATGAGCCCCTTCAAGCTAATTTTTATTTGATTGTCTTCAGAATAAACTATTGTTATACAATTACTTGCCTAATTACCCTAACCTAACCTAATTAACCTAGTTAAACCTTTAAATGTCACTTTAAGATGTATAGAAGTGTCTTGAAAAATATCCAGTCAAATATTATTTGCTGTCATCATGGCAAAGATAAAATAAATCAGTTATTAGAAATGGATTATTAAAACTATTATGATTAGAAATGTGTTAAAAAAAACTGCTCTCCATTAAACAGAAATAAAGAGGGGGGCTAGTAATTCTGACTTCTACTATACGTCATCTCATAGCCTGATGACCATATATAGTACCGATTTTAAAAGTCAGAAAGTTCATTACGGGCTCTATTTTAATGATGTAGGCACAAAGTCCAAAGTGAATGCCGCAAAAGCATTAAGGGCGTCCGAATCCACTTATCCACTATTTTATGGATAGAAAAATTTGTTCTGCACAGCGACGCATGGTCTAACAGTGTTGTGCTTGTTCTCTTAATGAGTTATGGGTGTATTTTGAGCAAAACATGCATTAAACCATGCAGAGTCTCATCACCCATTCCCTTTAAGAGTCAGTTCACGCCATGGCACATTTGCTATTTACATGGCGTACTTTGTAAGTGGAAAAACCAAACGACTCACTAGAGAAAAAACAGTTAAACAGAGCATCTGCAGCGCGAGGATAAAGAACAAGCCTCCTCCATTTGGCCTTTTTACTTTTACTTTTTACTTTGCTCCTTTACTTTCGTGGATAAGGAAGCGGTGTTGTACGCACTCCACTGGAAATATCCATTAGTCGACATATTTAATTTAGTTTGTTAGGCGCAAAGATTTGTTTCTTTAAACTATTTCTAAATTCAGTTCTAATTTCCAGCGATGACAGCCAGAATCACAAATGATCTAAGTCTGTTAAAAGTATGTGAGAGGTAAAGTGATTATCTGGCAATATCTGAGAATAGCTTGGCTATATCCATATTAGACACAACAGGACTATACGTAAACTCCAATGCCATGACAAGATGTGGATTTTTTTCAGCCCAGCCAATGTTTTGAGTGCGCGTGAGAAGCTTTGCGTAAGCAGTGTATATTTGAGAGCTCGCGAGCAGTTTTTTTCATGAACAAAGAAAATCGGTGCATGAGGAAAGAGGTTTGCTAGCTCCTAAAACATTACTTGAATGCGCTCTCGAAAAACTGACTGACGCTCTGAAACATGACGCTCTGATAAAGTTTGCTCTGAAATACTGCAATACTGACAACATTTGTCAGTGAAATAACGGCATATGGACATATGTCCATCTTGCGAATTTACTGTTGTCTGCCATTTTCATCTATTTGCCGTTTTTCCGCAGCACGTTACTGCGAACTGGGCTGAGCCAAGCTCAGAGGCTGAAATCATTCCGCGTTCAAAGTGAAAAGTTTCAATAGCCAGAGGGAGATTAATGACGACACAAGCCTATATTCACTAACCACGAACAGGAAATAGAACTTACTTGCGTTATTTTTTATTTGTTAATGTCTTGCGGGCGAAAAGTTTGTTGTAACGCAAGCATTACTGAACATGTACCGAGTAAATATTAGTGTTAGTAATGCCTTACACTACTGCGTTACAGGAAAAAGTAATACGTTACTGTAATACATTACTTTTGTAACGCATTACTCCCAACACTAGCCTTTAAACACCTCCTTTTCAGACCAGAACATTTATGAGTCCACAAACTGGCGCAAATGGATTTACTATTTAAACATGGTGCAAAATGTAAAAATTACTTTTGCGCTGGTCTAAAAATAGCAACAAATCGCAACAAACACGTCTTGCGTGTCCTCTTGCGCCGGGTGTACACTATTCATATTGCTAATGAGAAATAGATGGGCACTAGTGGGCGGGGCTTTCACCTTCTGATGACACGTACAAAGGGAGAATGTCAATCAAAGTGTTTCTGCACTTCTGATTATTAATAACAGAATTAATTCATTTTAACCATTAGAGGCTGGTTATATTCACACACTGCTGCAACACAACTGTGTTTAAACCCCTTATAAACGTGATTTTCACATAATAGGTTTATTTATTTAGCACCTCCTTTTCAGACCGGCACACCCATGAGCGCAAATACAGGTGCAAATGCATTTGCTGTTTAAAAACAAAGACATAAAATATGAAAATGAAACCTGCGCAGAGTGTTGTGACGGTCTCTGATTGTACCGCACAATTTAAACAAACGCACCAATGGTGAACACCTAAATGAATGACGTTGTGGGGGCAGATGGATTTGTTTTTAAATAAAAACGGAAGTGAGAAGATGTTTGGGGGGGTTTTGTGTTTGTTGGGAGGAAGTTCTGAGCGGAAGTGAAGGTGAAGCAAGTGTACAGAAGGAAGCGAAGTGCCGACTAGCGGGGTGTCCTGAAAAGGTGATCCAGGTGTTTGTTTGGCAGCAACGGACCGATCTGCGCTTTAGGTTCTCTTGCATGATCGTTTGCGGAGGGGTTTCTACTCGTATCTCCAGGCAGCGACCAGGGGTCTGTTCTTCGTACCTCGCTTAAATGATCTAATATTATTTGGCAGATCCTGGATCTTTTAATCTGGATAACTGATCCCTCGCTAATTTGGTTCTTCAAACAAGTTCGCGAATTAGATTAGAATGTCTGGATGAACTGATCTGAGATCGCTGCGTGTGTTGTGCAGGACAGATCTATCGATCCTCGAAATCATGATCAGCAATGCAACGATTGGCTGACGGCACAGCAGCGTAATGACATCATCTGATTAATATTCAATTATACATGTGAGCAAAATTACATCAAATTAGCAGTAACCGGTTTGTTTAATATGACACGCAAGAACTTTCCACATTTGTTGTGAGCTGCAGGCTTTACACTTTCATGTGTCAAGAGTATTCATCATGCATTTCAATTTTAAATCAATTTTAATCTGTGTAAAGAATAACTGGTTGTTTACAAAAGCATTTTGATATTGGTAAAGGTGTCTGCAACTTTTGTGAAGCATCAAATCACTATTAACTATCAAAACATGTTTATGACTGCATAAATGTATTATTGCTTTAAAAAAAGTCACATTTTGTGCATTTCTATTATACACAATTTGTACTAAAGCGATCTAAAAAGTTCATATCAATAAGTTTTCTCTTTGCACCACCAGGTGGCAGTCTTTGTACTTTCATTTCGAGGGTGCAGATTGCATACGTTTTATTAATATGTATAACTTTATTTATTTTATTAATGACTATAACTTTATATATATAGTTAAAAAAATATGTATCATTTTCCCAAGTGTATAAAACTACTACTGTAAGAAAATATCAGAATTCGGTACTTTCTCTATTTTCTTTGCTTGAACTGACCCGATCTAATCCTGTTTATATGAATTGAACCTGCTCCCGATCAGGTTTGACCTAGCAGAACTGTTGCCATGACAACAACTCTCGGATCAGCTTTGAAGAACGAAACGATCCTGGATCATGTCAAATCATCAATATCCAAATCCAGCTAACTGAGTAATCCACGTACGAAGAACGGACCCCAGAACTTATGCAGAGTTGTTGACAAAAAATCTTGGGTTGCCTGGACGCTGTCTCCGTGAGTGCTAGTTTTTTTTTTTCTTTCTGCTTCGTTCAAGTTTATGATCTTCATCTCAACTCATCGATAACGTTATCCTTCGGAGGTCAAGTCATCTGTCAAGAGCTGAAATCTAGTATTCAAACTAGTTCCCCCAAACGCCACAGACAATTGCACAACACACTCAGTTCCCTTGTGTGAGTATTGATTTGATTTCCCCTCTTTGTTTTTGTTGTTGTTGTTTTCAAATAATACAATTGGGGTAGTTTTTGTTTTGCTTGTTGACGCTTATCTATTTTTGTTTGTGCTTTGTTTTTGATCTGGACAGGACTGTTTTAAGGGTGCTTTCACACCTGTGAATCGATTCAGTTGTTCCGAAACAGAGATTACAATTGTTACATTGTTGCTCTTTGCTCTTGGAGCGGTTTGCTTTCACACTGCAAAGTTTCTAAACGGACCAACAGAGCTAAAACAAGTCACGTGCGAGTAAACTCTCCTCACATTGGTCAGAGTGTCAGGGTTTATTTTGCAGAGTCCCGCTAAGCTGTCAGGAGAGGTGGTGGTTTAGTGGTGATTGACAGGGTGCGCGCGACGTGTCTGAGGAGAGACGCGGTGGGGAGGGGTGAGAAGGGTGCGCGACGACGCCTATTTGAGGACCGGGAGGGAGACGCGAGATTACCGGGAGATCATCACTCGTTTGCGGGCATCCGGAGACTCGCGAAACTTCCCGCCCTACTCATAATTCTCTCTTCATATAGCCGTATGCCTATTACATATCCATAATACACTGTGATATAACCGCGCTCGGATCGCTTTCTCACTGCAATCGAACTGCTCCAGGGTTCGTTTCAATCGAGCCGAGACCACCTCATTCAAGCAATCTCGGAGCGATTACTTTGGTGCGGAACAGAGCGCGAATGCCCTGTTCACATATGCCAATCGAACCGCGCTAACTGGGCAAACGAGATACGTTCCGAAACAAAAGTGTAGGTGTGAAAGCACCCTAAGTCTTCACTGTTACAGATGCTAATTTAATATTTCTTGTAATTTGTTGTTTTGGTTGAAAAATAACCCAAGTTGAATTTGAATCTTTTTTGATCATTTATTCCACTTCATTTTGTGTGTAACTGATGGTTTGTGTCTGATGCTAATAACGTTATCTGGGGTAATTGTGCATGATCTAATATATATATTTTAACAGGTTTCAATCCTGTCTTGCACCCGAACAGTTCTTTACTTTAATCTTTAGTGCAAAGTCATTTGTTTAGTGCAAAAGTCATTAATACTATTATTTTTCCCGAGGTGCAATGGTGTATGCCAACACTCCTGTGGGAATTTTTTTTTTTTTAAAAGTCACGTGGCCGATTGGGTACGTCACAGGGCTCCAACGCAAAGAGACCGGGGTTCGGATCCCACCTTGGCAAAGATATATATATTTTTTTCGTTGTTTACAAGAAAGTAATGACTTTGTACATTGCCATCGTTACAGTGTATTATGGTACCCTAAAAGTGTTACGCGTTAATATCTGACCTTGCGGTGTCGCTCTCTGTCTTTGCATTTCTCTCGGACCCAGTCGATGGTGTGGAAGTCGTCGTAGGTCCCCACTCCAGGAATGGGCTCTTCCAGCAGATCCAGCAGGTGGGTGGAGCTACTAGCTCCTCCCCCTCCTCCACCCCCATTAGACATGGCGTAGTTCGACCCTACAAGCACACACACAGACAAGACTCATGAGTATGGATCTAGAATACACACTGTGACTCACCCCAAGCCTTAAAGTCTGCATGAACGTTTTTTTTTCATATTATGATGCAGTACCTAGAGAAACAGAATATTAAATGAGAAAACAGTGGGCGTGGCTTGTTTTTTCTACTGCAAGCTGATTGGATGTAGTAAAGTAGGCATTTCATTCGGAAAGGTCTGGAAAATGGTTTGGGGAGAGTTATTATACCTAACAGACTCCTCCTGCTCACCATTTCTGTTTGCTCTCATGGCAACAGCTAGAGGGGTGTGGTTAAGTATGTTAGCCACGCCCAATACCTCAAACAGACCTAATCTGAGAATCTGACTGAAAACAAACAGGGAGTGCATTCACAGATTTCAATGAAAGATTAGGAGGACAAACTATTGTTTTTTTTCTTAATGACGTTCACAGATGAGTTGTTCACCACAAAACCAGCACTTTGAGCTCACAGGATCAATAGGGTTAGTTTTGATTTCATGTGGACTTTAAAAGGAACAGTACTTGCTGCAGTTGATTAAATGTGTGTTGCGTAGGCCTGTCACAATAATCAATATATTGACTTAACACATGAACATCTCAATTATTTTTTGTTGACGCAATATATAACGCCTACATAAAAAGCAAAGCCAGCAACATTTCAGCTGATTGAGTAGCCAATAAATCAATGAATCCAATCTCTACTGGAGGTGTTAGTGTCCTTCTGGTTAAATACAAACACCACTGTATTTACTCTAAAGTAGTGTAGTATTCAGTCTAAATGACTTTAGTCTAAATATTTAGCTTTTGCCTAGTTCTTGTTACCTTCCATGTTTTATGTGAACATTTATTATTTATTATAATTTAAGATATACATTTTCATATTCTGATTCCAATTCCTAATTATTAAATTAACAAAATTATTATAAATATATTAAATATTCTTAAGAATGAGGTAGTATGTGGTCTTTGAAAGAGTGTACTTTCCTTATAATGCAATCATAATGTCATGAAACAAAGATAATATTGTTTACTGCAATAAAGTTTGGTGCAATAATGTTTAGCAAAAAAAAATAGATATAATAGATATCCTGACAGGCCTAATGTTGTGTTTTTATACACTCATCTGTTGTGTTTTTTCATTCACTCATCACTTTATTAGGTGCATCTTACTAGTACAGCCTACCTGGGTATTGCTTGCATGTAGGGATGCAACGATTATAGATTTTGTTTGTACGGTTATAGTCTGAGAAATAATCACGGTTTCACGGTTATCACGATTATTATGCATTCATTAATTTTAAAACTGTTTTACTTCAGAAAAATCACATGAAAACTCCTTATACTTTAAAGTGTTATTTACTGCTGCATAGTAACCACATAATACAGCACAAAATAATATTAAAAACAAACAATAATCCATTTCTCTCTTGGTCAGGGCTCGAAATTGCGACCATTTTGGTAGCATATACGCCCGAAATTTAAGCTATGCGACCTCATAATATATTTGGGAGCATTTGTGCGACTGAATATAATGGTTGTAGTTAGAACTGCACAATTAATCGTTAAAAGATCGCGATCTCGATTCGACCCCCTAGACGATCTTAATCCAGCATTTCTACGATTCTGCCATTCATATTTTCAAGTTCAGGAGAGAAGAAAAGGCGGCTGCGCGAGTCTTTTCATTGTTTCACACACGTTGCTCAGTGACTTGGACACCTCCAAATGATGTTGAATGAGTCACATAATGTATTTATCAGGTATAATTCACCTAAAAATGTAATTTTGTCTTCATATAATGATGTTTTCGAAATCACACGTGACGTGAGCTGCTGACTGTGAGCTGTTATCACAGGGCACGCGCGTGATAACGCGTGCCACTAAAGAGCCTACTTTAGTGAACAGAACCTGCAAATGTTGCGAGTCACATTTTAGAGTTATGATTGCGTTAACCCACAGTTGTGCATGAAAATAAATGTTTACAGTGTCAGTATAACTACTCTAGCATATATATTGTTGAATATAATCTGATAATGGCAAATGTCTGATTTTACCAGTGAATAAAATGGTCTAATATGACAGATTGCAAGCATATATCTCAAACATAATAATTCAACATCAGAATTATTATAAGTAGAACAGAATTATTTATAAAAACCCGTAGACCTACACATAATATTATTATCGATGTTGTGCCATATGTTTGTTTTTACCATACCTTTATTTTACATCCACAGAATCGTGAGAAAATCGTGATCTTTATTTTAAGCAAAAAAATCGTGATTCTCATTTTAGCCAGAATCGTGCAGCTCTAGTTGTACTGCGACCTGTTTTTTTTTTTTTTACAAAAACGTGGTAAAAATTGGTCTTCCCTGCCGCTATATTGGTTCATATTAGCTGTCAATCACTCAAGACTTTCCGCTGTCAGATGACAGGGAGGAAGCTTTCGTGACCGCGGGGAATGCAAACGGCTGAAGAGTGAAAAGTACACTGACTCTCGATGCATTGCATGCACTGCATGTTCAGCCAACACAATCTCACGGCAATTCGTAACATTTTTATACGTTTCCTCGTGAGATCAGGCTGCAACAGCGCAAATGTCCGCTAAAACACCATCGCCAAAGAAGCTCGCCTTTACTGAGTTTAAACTGATGCGGGCTATAACAGAGAACAGTATTGCGCCGGTGGTCATCGGGAGAATCCTGCTCTGCCGCCCTCATATATTGGGCCGGCTGACTCGCATGCTTTTCCGCAAACACAGAAAAATGTAATTCATTGCGTAACGAGGCTGAGCATTAAAATGACACGAACCAAAACCAAAACTTTTAAAAGTGAGACTTTTCTTCCTTTCTTTTGTCCGTTCTTTTTTGAGGTGTATATTATTTTTCTATTTATTTACTGATGACTGCTTTGCAGCTTTCAGCATTGAATTGAATGATTTATTATATTATTTTGTTTGTTTTGTAGCAGAAATAGTATTTATTAAATTGACATGCATATAAAAACAATAGTGCAATATAAATATTTCTTTCTGCAATGCTTCATTTGTGTTTGATGCCAACCATCAATTTATTTTTCATAAAGTAACAGCAGGACTTTATATAGCAGATAACTTGCATTAAAGCACATTCAAGGCAGCATGATGATGAGAAATATAATTCATTATTAGTATTGTCATCATCATCATCATTAATATTTTATAATTATTCAACATTCATTTTGGAATTATTGCACAAATATCATCAGTCATCACAGCATTAGTTAGATGGTTGTTTCTGGGTTTTGTTAGTCCCAATTGATGTTGTTTTCAAATACAATAAATCCCTTAATATACAACTTGTCAAATATATCATTCATTTTTGGTGGATGCTCCAAAATTTTTTCTGGTGCTCCTAAATATTTCAGGTTGGGAGCACCGGTGCTACTAAGTAAGATAGTTCATTTCAAGCCCAGTTTGTGCTTAAAAATAAGTAAAAATAAAATTGACATTTAAACATACATAATTTGTACACTATGACAGAACAATGAATAAATAAATAAATAAATAATAGTATTTGTCTAATGCAGGGCTTGAAATTAACTTAAGGGAGCACCCACTAAAATTGAATGAGCACCACAGCAAATTGTACACTACAGATTTGTTGGATTTTAAAAATAACATCAATCAGGACTAACAAAAACCAGAAACAACCAATTAATTCTGTTATCACTTATTGGTATTTGTGCAATAATTCCTAAATAAATATCTAATAATTATAGAATAATAATGATGATGATGACAATAACACTAACCCTAATAATAAATAACAATAAATAACATCATCATGCTGCCTTGAATGTGCTTGAATGTGAGTTACGTGCTAAAACAAGTCCTACTGTTACTTTATGAGAAAAATGGTTTGCATCAAACACAAATGAAACATTGCAGTAAGAAATATACATTTCATACTATTGTTGTTAAACACATGTCAATATAATAACCAGAGAGAACGGTCAACGCATTTTAGAGTTATGATTACGACAAGCACTTGATACGTTTTTTCTGTCATAGCTAACAGTGTTGTGCATGAAAATAAATGTTTACAACCCTAGCCTTTATATAATGCTGAATATAATGCAAGAAGGAATCTGATAATGCCAAAATTCATTCTAATTTTACCAAAGAAATATATGGTTTAATAATGTTGTCAATGACAGATGACAAGCACATGTCTTAAACATAATAAATCAACTTTATAATTATGAATAGCCATATTCTGAGGTCATCATTTTACTGTGAATTAACAAACAGGACATACTGAAAGTCTGAAAGTCAAGACAAATGCTCAAGTCCACCATAAGGATGCACAGAATTTAGCATTTTAAGCAACAGTAGAGCTACACCTCTACTGTTCACCTTATTTATTTTACATTTACAGAATCGTGAGAAAATCGTGATCTTGATTTTAGGCAAAACAAATCGTGATTCACATTTTAGCCAGAATCGTGCAGCCCTAACACTAAACTTATAAAGACGTATTTGGACATTAACTTCTAAATGCATAATTTACATTTAGTCATTTAGCCGACGCTTTTATCCAAAGATTTCTCTGCATGAAAGACTTGTGTATGGCAGAATAACCTGCTGCTGCTTCTCCAATAAGGCAGGAAATTAAATACGGCAGAAATGTGGATGACGTGTGGATGATTGACAGGACTCACAACTAAGCAACACAACGATCTGTTCAAGAGGAAGTAGCATGTCCCACAGCTTGCAGACTCTTCTGTTGCACACTCGAAAGTGCATATTTATCCTTCACAAAAAAAGTACATACTTTTAGGGCGTAGTATGAGTTATGCAAATTAAGACGCAGCATATGACTAAGTTTACATTTCAATAATTATTCATTATTATAATTATTATCATAAATAAATAAGTCAATACTACTTTTTTTTACATTTTCCAAAACAAACTATATCAAGTATAAATAAAATGGGAAAGAA